GCACACAGGAGCTTATTTACTTATTTATTATTTTAAATAAATCTTTATCGTTCATATTATTACAAAAGTTCCTCTTTTTTCCCCCCTCCACAGGAGCTTATTTAACTCAGACAAAAGCTGCCCTGAAGAAATGAACCTTGCTCTCTCTGAGAATGTGGGAGATAGCTAGAGGCCAGGGATTCCAGCAGAAGGAAGCCAAGGCACAGAGATAAGCTCAGGAAACATTTCTCCCCACCCCCCACACACCCAAGATTTGGGGAATTCCATGTTGTATTTATTTTGGCAACAAGCAAAGCCTGAAAATTCCAGATCAGCCAGCCAGATATATAAACTGGGCAGTGCCAATTATCAGCAGTACAACAATTGAAATTTCTTTTGAGAGTCAAATTTTTTAAACTTAAACTTTTTCTAATGCTACCTCTTCAAAATAAACTCGCTCAGGCCGTGGTATTTTGTGGAAGAGCCACACTCAAGGTGCCAAAGAGCCGCATGCGGCTTGCGAGCCACAGTTTGCTGACCATGGAATTAGAGTGTCAACCAGTTATTTCAACAAGTTATTTTCTTTCTTCCTTTTTTTTTAAAAAAAATATATTTTATTGATTTTTTACAGAGAGGAAAGGAGAGAGATAGAGAGCCAGAAACGTCGATGAGAGAGAAACATCAACCAGCTGCCTCTTGCACACCCCCCACCGGGGATGTGCCCGCAACCAATGCACATGCCCTTGACGGGAATCAAACCCGAGACCCTTCAGTCCGCAGACCGATGCTCCACCACTGATCCAAACCGGTTTCAGCAACAAGTTATTTTCTCTTTAAATGTTTTTATTGGTTTCAGACAGAGGAAGGGAAGAGAGAGAAACATCAATGATGAGAATCTTGATCAGCTGCCTCCTTCATGCTCTTTACTGGGGATTGAGTCTGCAAGCCCAGCATGTGTGTTACGAAGCGAGTCCCCAAGAGATGGACCACCAGAGCCAATTTGATTAAGCATGCTAGAATTTATTACAGATTCGAATCTGGACTCAAACCATGGCTGACGCAGCAGCCGGTAAACACCCAGGTAAGAGCCCCGATGGAGGGGCAGTCCCTCCAGGGCGCTCACACAAAAACACAGACAAACACACACCTACCGCGGCCAGTCAGGCTCTCCGAAATGGGGGTCCCTCCTGGTCCTGGCTGGGGATTCCAGTCATGATCCCCAAGGACCACCAGGGAGCCGAGTCCGATGCAATAAACAAAAGAGCCATCTCCATGCTAGCATGGGCTATCCCACTCATGCCGGCAGCATGGCGGAAGAGAGTGAATTTCGCCCAGTCCAGGGGTTTTACTCAGTTTGGTGATGTCACTGCCTCGGCTAACCCTGATTGGCCCCTCAGGACTAAATTCTAAAGACTGGGGACAGCCCGCAAGGTTGGTTCCCAGTCACACCCTGCTTGACATTGGAATGTGGCCCTATCTTGCCCATAATACAAAAGCAGAACTAAAGGTTATCTACAGTTTCTACCCCTGAAGCTACTGAGTCAGTGGGAGTCAATCTCCTGCAACTACCCTATTGTTCAAGCAAGTAATCGAAGGTCGAAGTCAGATAGCAAGGTTAAAATTCAAACAGCAGTTTTTACCCAAGTATGAGTGCTACCTTATTTCATTGTGCCCTGATGGGAATCAAACTGGACCACTGGATCCTAATCACTCACCTGCCTGCCTGCCTGGTTGCCCCTAACTCCCCCCCCCCCCCTCCCTCTGCAGGCCTGGTCACTCCTCACAACCAGTACCCTCCGGCCTGGTTGTTCCATGCAGCCTGCTTATTTATTTAGTCGTTTGTTTGTCCCTCACTAACCCCCCTTCCCCCCCTCCCACTGGCATGGTTATAGGCAGCCATATTGTGAGGGTGTGACAGTCAATTTGCATACTACCTCTTTATTATATAGGATAAGCAATCCTTGCCTGGCTGGCATGACTCAGTGATTAAGCACTGACCTATGAACCAGGAAGTCAAGATTTGATTCTGGGTCAGGGCATATGCCTGGGTTGCAGGAGGCAGTTGATCAATGATTCTCTGTCATCATTGATGTTTCTCTCTCTCCCTCTCCCTTCTCTGAAATCAATAAAAATGTATTTTAAAAAACCAACAAAAACAAATATAAGCAATCCTTGTAGTTACTTTATGAACACACCAGTGCAGAGGGCCCTCTGGGAAGGCACATGGGCATTTCTTTAATTATTGTCAGCTGAACTCAGGGCGATAGGCAGAGACATGCCCTGGGAACATGCTTCCCCAAAAAGGCAGATATGTTTTCAGTACTGACTCTTAATGTTGCCCAGGTGTCGGGGAGTGTGACTTTGATATGTAAATTCAGTCAGGCCTACTCAAGAACACAAATAAGATCCTTTGATCCTAACTTTTGGTGAAGCCTCCTGGTGTTTGGGGGTATAAATAAACACACTGCTTTGGCTCTGGGTCCCTGTCTCTCCATCAGAAGAGGGTAGCGTCTCACCCAGCTCTCAGCTTTGATTCTATCTCTGCGTCTTTCTTTTATTTCTCAATCCCCAGCCACCTCCGTTCAGAACCGGTTCATCTTTCTGTGCTGGACGCGGAAAAGGGAGATCCCCCGCCATATCTGGCCCCCCGCCACACACCAGTAAATACACACATATATTAATACGTATTTCACCCCTACCCCTTTTCCACACAACCATTTGGATATCTATACTAATAAAAGGGTAATATGCTAATTAGACTGGACATCCTTCTGGACAAAGCCATGGTGGTGGGGGCCGAGGCAGAGGTGATTAGGGGTGAGCAGGCCAGCACGGGGAGGCAGTTAGGGGCAACCAGACAGGCAGGCAAAGTGGTTAGGGGCGATTAGGCAGGTAGGCAGGTGAACGGTTAGGAGTCAGTGGTCCTGGATTGGAGAGGGATCTCTGATGGCTGGTTTTGGCCCACAGGGATTGGGCCTAAACCGGCCATTGGACATCCCCCCAGGGGTCTTGGAATTGAGAGAGTGCAGGCCAGGCTGAGGACCCCCCCATGCATGAATTTCATGCACTGAACCTCTAGTATTTAAAATAAAATAGAACAGCCTTGACTGGCATTCTCAGTGGTTAAGAGTGTTGGCCTATACATTAAGGGTTTTGGATTCAATTTCCAGTTGAGGTGAGAGCGGGAGGCAACCAATTGATGTGTCTCCCTCAAGTGGATGAATCTCTTTCTCTCTCTCAACCTCCCTCCCCTCTCTAAAAATCAACAGAAAAAAATATCTTTGGGTGAGGATTAACAAAAAAACAAAACAACAAATTTTTTGGTAAATAAAATTTAATACACCCATATAATCAAGTAATAATGGTTAAAAGACATTTTATTAGATACAACTTTTAAAAAACACTATGCACAAAATATATTTAAACAAAACATGTAAGTATTAATGTGCTACGACTGAACTGAGAACAAAGAAATACAAAGCCTTGTTTTCTCTCTCCACTGTGAAGACCCTAGAGCCTCCAATTGAAAGCAAATGACGTTTGCCCATTCTGTAAGAGTTCTAAAGCATACTACACTTTTGTTCAATTCTGTAATTGTGTTGTTTCAGATAGCTCCAGAAACTTCAACAAAAATTTAAATGAAGAAACCATGGAGGGGTGATGGGGGTGGGGGAGAGTAAGAACGTTTCCAAGAAAGTTAACCGAAAAAGTCTGTAGAGAGAAAAAAGAGAAAAAAAAAAGAACAGTATATAAAGGAACAAAAAAAAAATTTACTTTTCTGACATTGGATGTAGATATTGCAAATGATGTTTTCAAGGGCTTATTAATCTACAATATGTAAGATTGATGGTTTTTCCTGAATATCTTAAAAAGCACCTTGGTATAAAAACAAACAAACAAAAACTCAAACCAAAATATATAATAAAACTCCAAACATCCAACAACCTTTCTTAGCATTCTCATTCTGCCAAGCAACCACACAGCTGGTGCTAATTAAAAAGTCAAAGGAGAACTAAAATTAAAAATTTTTTTTAAAGAGATTTACTCTATAGGAAACAAATATGAAACTTTTCTAAGGTTAAGCTTTATTTAGGTTGAAAAAAAGTTGAAATAACACTGGGAGAACTTAAGGCACAAATTCAGATGCAGACATTTAAAAAATATTAAAATTCTTTTCTTTGGAATAATATATAAAATAAGTTATGACTAATGCTGTTTTAAAAATTACGTATGATGACCATCTTTAGCACTTAGTAAATTTAATATCTAGGCAATCACACAAATGTAAAACATTTATATAAAATATTTTAAAATGTTTGAAGTATGTTGAAAATGTCTCTAGAATTCTCAATTCACACTCTTGGCTCAAGTGGTTTCTAGTGAGTAACATTAGATATGACAATAAGTATAGCTAGCTAGTCAAACCTACTGCCCTAAAGGTCAAAAAATTGCCCCATTCTGGTCACATGATGTGGTGAATATATTTACTTAACTAAAAGGAATAATGGGTTGAGGTGATGTAAACCTGGCTTTTAATATAATGAACAACAAATTCTAATAAGGCCAAAATTATGTTGAGGTTAACTGGTGTCTTGAGTTTACTAAAATAAAGGCCGTCCACAGGAAGCCTTTAACAGAAATCATCTTATCACATGGCACCATATAAACAGCAATTTTTTATTCTTTAAAAATACAGTCTGGAGTAGATGTCTTTTCCACATCTATGTCTCAAGACACCACAGGCACACATGAACAACTTGACCCCTTTCTTTTCATGTGTAAGTTCTCACAGCAATTAGGAAAAAAAAAATCTATTGCCTGGCCAGGGTGGCTCAGTGGTTGAGCATTGATCTATGAACCAAGAGGTCACAGTTCCATTCCGGGTCAGGGCACATGCCTGGGTTGTGGGCTTGATCCCCAGTGTGGGGCATGCAGGAGGCAGCCGACCAATGATTCCTTCTCATCACTGATGTTTTTATTTCTCTCGCCCTCTCCCTTTCTCTCTGAAATCAATTAAAAAAAAACCTATTGCCATAGCCAGACAACATGGGGAAAAAAAACAACCCACACTCAATATACCTGGTTTGCATACTGACAAAAGTAGTATAATTGAACCTTTGTCTTTCCTGAGTTTCAAGAAGAGTTTTGACAGTAGAGATATATAAACAATTCATATTCACTAAGAGAAAATGTATCAGTCCACAAAACATTTTCATCTTCCTAAATACAAAAGAATGAATGTTCAACCACTGCTATGTGTGAAGCCCTTTACCAAATTACATTTACTCTAGAACCATGAACTGAAGGTTACTTAGTTATGACACTTTAAACCCCCCAAATAAACAAAATGATAACTTAATACCCTCCCTGAGTATATACATGATTTCTCTTAAACACCTCTTTAAATGGAGTAAATATCTATATTTTAGTCATCTAGGGGAAAAAAGGTTATTTAAAATCTAACAGGCTACCAATTCATACCTGTGCAGTCAAGTCAGTGGGAAGATTAGAGTAGAAAAGGGAGGATTCTGGGGTAAAAATTAGACCACTCTATTGTTCACTCACACATGGAAAAGGATTAAAGTTCATGAAAAAACAAACTGTACTTTTCTGTTGACCCACAAAACTTACTTTCAATTTCCTTCCCCACTGAGTGGGTTTAGCAAATGCATCTCCACCTCCAATTTGTTTTCTGACCTTGTAAAACCCTGTTTTATGTAGATTCTGGCTATATACAAGTATGCATACTAATACTTACCATGTACTTTTAAATGTAAAAAAGTAACCTAGAAATTCCCAAATAAAAAATCTTCTGAAATGGAATTTAATAAGGTCAATTATTTTTTAATTTATGTGCTTTTTCCCCTGATCATTACAAACTTATTCAACTCTTGGTGTTTGTCCTAGTATATATGTGTGCACATGACCATACTCTCTACATACATACACATGTATAGTCTACATACACACTAACCCAAAGGCTTATATGAGCATTACCTATCAAAAAAGAAAATTTGTCCACTATGTGATGACAATATGAATATAATCTGATCAATTTGGTAGATATATCATATTTGTTTTTAATACTAATTATATCTAAAATTTTTTTTTGTTTTTTAAAAGGCTAACACCATTATTTACCAAGAATCAGTAAAGAAAGATAAATAAAGAAAATTAAAATATCAGTTGGGTAACTTTAAAAATAGTTCTTTAATTTCCTAGTATAACTAAGTTCTTGGTTTGAATACTTAATTGATGTAGTTTCAAATTATATAGAAAAAAATTAAATAATATTGGTATGAGGTCATGTTTAAACAAATTCTGTTCTATTGAATTTCATTCCAAATTACTACAATGAACATATGGCTATTAAAATAATTGAATAACAAAATACAATAGATAAAAGTACCAGAATACAAGTTACCTTGAGAAAATATTTTTTATGTGAAATGTCTGTATTTATGAATGGGCATGATCTTAGAAATAAACATGAAGTAACAAGTATCATCTGTATAATCCTCAGCATTTACACTTTTCTCATACATTACCTCATATACTGCAAAGAATTTCTGAACTAAATAGTTACCACTATCTACACAAAGGATATAATGCAAAAGTAAATATTTACTCAAAAATTAAAACAAGTATTCTAATAGTCCATACAATTATTTTTCAATTAAAATGTCAGAAAGTTGTTTTCTGAATTGCTCTGATAATTATCACAAAAAGGTATAGATCATCTAAAATTATGGTTTGAAAAGTAAAATTTCCCTAAAAATTTATAAGTTTTTTAGAATTTTCCTCAGAATTCTGATTCCAGCTAAGCATTTAAGTTGATGCCATATAGTTTACTTGAAATCTCTGTTATCATTCTAGGATAATAAAAATAAGCTTATCGATGTTAATTTTTTTTATTACTACCTTGGTTTTAAATGTGGTGACATTCCAAACATATATTTGCATCATATCTCCTATGACAAGGACCATATTAATTTTAATGTACGAAGACAATAGTGCCTGGGAAGTTCAACCTGGAACATCCCTAAAATGTTGTAAATTACACTGGTCCACCGAGAAATAACAGTCACTTATGCTGTAGTTCCTGCTGCTCCATTTGCCTTAGAAAATTTAAGTTCATCCCTGAATACTAGTTAAGATAGTATCTTTATAAACTGGAGTTGGAAAATCTAGACGAAGGTTATTTGTTGTATAGAAGCTTGAGACTTTTGATCAGTAATTTACACAATGGTACCAAATGAGATTAGAAGACTGCAATTACTGCCATTGGTTTATTCAGACAATTAATTAAAAAAAAAAATGGGCCCAGTTAGGTGGTCCCTGGTTTATCCTTTAAAGACAACTTAATTGTAGAGATTCCCAGGACTTTAGCGGGCCACATGAAAGTAGGATGACCAGAGAAGTCCTCACCCAAAGCACCATATTAATGAGGTCAAACCCTACTGGGCTCGGGAGAAGACCTGTCCCTGCTTTCCATAGGACAATATTACAAAATGGATTTCAACTCCTTTGCCAGGTTCACAAAAAGGAACCTCCTTAAGAGGCATTAAAGAGGATACAATAAATACTGGAGTAACCTGTCATTTTAATGGCATCTGCTTTTCTATCTTCTACCCAATCTCTTCTCAAGAATACACTTAATATAAGATAGCAATTCTAAGCATAAAGTAATAATTTGGTATCTTACTTAAATTGCTGTCACCACATTTTTATCAATTACAGAAAAAATCCTTTCAATAAAATTAATCAGTTTGAATATATTTTTAGTGACAAAGATTTTGAAAATTGATTTTTTTCCTCCTTAGGATGTGGTATAAGCATTACGTGATTCAACCTAAATGAAGCCTTAAGTCATGCAAATTTCTAACTGTCTATATGACAAAATAAGGAATACACAGTCTTTCAGATAAACATACATAAATGAAGAGACCATTCACAAGTTCCTAAAAGGTAATCAGACAGACAGTATCTCCTATTCCACATAGGTTTCTCACAAATATTTACAAAGATGCATTTTCAAAGCCCAAGCAACACCACCATTATCTTCAACAATAATCCAAGCCCCTTTTATTTTCCAATTGCAGGGAAGGCTTTACTACAGTTTGAAAGATTGATATTTTGGGGAGAAAGGCACCAGGATTACTAAGTTTACTTTTTGTGCATATGGCAGAAAGGAGATATGCCAAGGTCCCAGTCTGGAGCTTTTGAAACCTCTCGTCTTGGATCGGTGTGGCTTCTTGGGTGAAGAACCCTGGTGTTAGAGCTTAAAGCATTTCTCGTTGTATCTGTGGATAGTCACACAGCCATGATAGGACACGGGCCTGGGCATTGCAGCTACCCCTGTGATGATGCTCGTCGCAGGATCATAACAGAGAATAGTGTCTGTGGCTTCTCCATTTTCCCGTCTTCCACCCAGGATATATATTTTACCGTTACACACAGACATACCACAGTTTTCCTGTTTTAACACATAAAAAAAAAAATCTCACATTAATTGTTGAAGGTAAGAGATTTGGTAGCAGCTGAAAAGTAAAATAAGACATGCTTTAACACTGTCAATAAAAGGAGACATGAAATAAGCTCCCTTTTGCTGAACTTTTACTTTATGTGTGAGTGGTAATTTTGCATGGATGAAGTGAGTGTTAAGATAAAATGTATTTAGTAATTGGGCCAAGTTGTAGGGGGTAAAGCGAGGGTGGTGGGCTGAGAGATGGGTTTTAGCCTAATGATAACCGAAAGAAAACATATTTGAAGAGCTTGGCTTGCTTCTTCTATTACAGGAAGATTCTTTATTATAGGAAGTGGCTATAATATGATTAGGATAGTATCTTCGGGTATAAAAGAATTAGTGAGTCTGCCCGGGTAGCTCAGTTGGGTAGAGCATTGTCCCGATATGCTAAGGTTGCAGGTTTGATCTCTGGTCAGGGCACATACAAGAAGCAATTAATGGCCAAAACTGGTCTTGCTCAGTGGATAGAGCGTCAGCCTGCTGACTGAGGGGTCCAGGGTTTGATTCCAGTCAGGGGCATATGCCTTGGTTGCGGGCACATCCCCAGTGGGGGGGGGGGCGGGGCGGGGGCGGGGGCGGGGAGGGTGCAAGAGGCAGCTGATCGATGTTTCTAGCTCTCTATTCCTCTCCCTCTCTGTAAAAAATCAATAAAATATATTAAAAGAAAAAAGAAGCAACCAATGCATGTGTAAATAAATAGAAAAAACAATTTAATGTTTCTCTCTCCCCTTTCTCTCTCTCTAAAAAATAAATATAATAATAATTAAAAAAGAATGAGTACTTAAAAATGCCTATATTATAGTTCATATATACATATATCCAGAATGACTTGGCTAATTATCGTGAGTGACCTAACCCATGAATTGTACCAATTATGTGCCAAACTATAACATTTTTCATCTAAAGTACAAAGCTATGCCCAGCCAGTGTGGCTCAGTGGTTGAGCGTCGATCTATGAACCAGGAGATCACGTTTCGATTCCCGGTCAGGGCACGATCCCCAGTGTGGGGCATGCAGGAGGTAGCTGATCGAAGATCCTCTCATTATTGATGTTTTTATCTCTCTCTCCCTTCCTCTCTGAAATCAATTAAAAAAAAAATATATATATATGTTTTAGCCGAAGCCGAAGCCGAAACTGGTTTGGCTTGGTGCATAGAGTGTCGGCCTGCGGACTAAAGGGCCCCGGGTCAATTCCGATCAAAGGCACGTGCCTTTGTGTCCCCAGTGGGGAGTGTGCAGGAGGCAGCTGATCAATGTTTCTCTCTCATCGATATTTCTGACTTTCTATCCCTCTCCCTTTCTCTCTGTAAAAAAAAAAAATCAATAAAATATATTAAAAAAATATATTTTTAAAGTACACAAGCTCTTTCTATTAAATTCTAAAAGTTGTTACTACAATAAAAAATAACATCCTGCCCGGCTAGCGTGGCTCAGTGGTTGAGCATCGACTTATGAACCAGGAGATCACAGCTCGATTCCCAATCAGGGCACAAGCCCAGGTTGCAGGCTTGCTCCCCAGTTAAGGGGTGCGCAGGAGGCAGCCGATCAATGACTCTCATCATTGATGTTCTATCTCTCTCTTCCTCTCTGAAATCAATAAAAATATACTTAAAAACACACACCCACACACACAAAAAAAAAAATCCTTAGTTTCCAGGGCTAAGCAAACCCTCATGACTAAACCTTACAGTCACTTTTATGATGATTCTTAAACTATATTGTTAATAGGATCTTGTTATTAACATAATTTCAGATAATAATGCTCAGAATTAAACCAAACAAGCAATCCTGAAATAGTTATACTTTCATATCAGGAAATTACATGTACTATAGATTAAAATGAAACACAATCCTAATACTGTAAAAAAAAAAATCAATAATCCTCTCCTTAATTATTATTATTTATAATCCTTAGGCTTAAATGCCAACAATAAAGAAAAAGAGAATCATATTTCATTTATTATTTTAAACTTTAATGACACTTTAAATTAAATAACTGGTCTATTGAAAAAAGATCAAAAAAATCATAATTGAATTAAAATCCCACAATATTTTTAAAGGATGTTTCTGACAAAAATTAAAATGCAAAATGTTTAAAATAGCAAACTGTGGCTTTTATGAATTATGCAAAGTCAAGAAGCATAAAAATAGTGAGAGAAAAAGGCTGGGTCCATTTGGACTGCAAAACAAACAAAAAAACCAATTTTTTTTTTAGCTCTTTTAAGCATTTAAGAAAATGTAGCCCTAACAGGTTTGGCTCAATGGATAGAGCATCGGCCTGTGGACTGAAGGTCCCAGATTTGATTCTGGCCACGGGCACATGCCTGGGTTGCAGGCTCGATCCCTAGTAGGGGGCATGCAGGAGGCAGCCAGTCAATGATTTTCTCTGATCATTGATGTTTCTATCTCTCTCTACCTCTCCCTTCCTCTCTAAAATCAATAAAATATATTAAAAATAAAAAAAAGAAAGGAAAGAAAATGTAGCCTTGGATTCAAATAACTGTCTACCATGAAATTAGATGACTTATCATTTCTTAGTGAACACAGAAGCCAGAAAAGGCAAGAGGGGCTAAGGGAACAGTATGAACTAAGGCAAGAACACATAAGACCTGTATAGGATATATGTAGATCTTATAGTAGATATTAAATAGTAGATATTAATATACTTGTAGATATTAAATGGTAGATATTAATATAATTGAGGTATAGTTGCAGAAAGTGAAGCTAAAAAGGCGAGCAGAGGTTAGCCAACACAGGCTTAGAATAGAGGGAAGTAGGAAAATTTTGGATTTTACTCAATAGTTTCCAATCAGAGGAGAGACATGATTATTACATTTATTGGAAAATAATTGGCGGCAAAATGGGTTAGAGAAGCAAGACATTAGTCAAAGGAACACTAGATTATTATTGCTTCAGTTTAGGTAGGAACTGATAAGAACTTGAACAAAAGCAAGAATGGGAATGAAAAAGAATAGGAGAAACTCTGAGAACTGATAGGCTAGATTGATCGAATATAAAAGAGAAGAAAATCTAGGCAGTTTTCTAGCTGTGAATTAATAAGCCTGATGCACGAGATTGTGCAAGGGGCTCGGCCCTTGCAGCTGTGGCTCATCCTAAAGGTCGTCTGGCTGTCTGGTCTAATTAGCATATTACACTTATTATAGACAGAAGATGTGTGTGTATATTTGTCTCTGGCCCCACGTTTCTGATACAGAGCGTCTAAATTCCTTGGAATTTCCTGGGTGATAGCTGTGTGTTTTGCTCTAATGAGGTGACTCTTGGTGGGTTCCTGGCTGGGGGCTGGTCGCCAGAAAGGTGAAGCCATGATTAGAGGAGAAGGGAGACGGGCTGGAAACTGAGTTAATAATTTATCACGGCTACATGATCTCCAAAGTATGGGATTTGGAGAGTGCTCAGGTTGTTGACACATCCGTGTGCTGGGAGGGTGGCACATCCCAACTGAACAATGACAGGAGCTCCTCTGCTTGGGGCCCTTCTGGACCTCATTCCATACGCCTCTTCACCTGGCTGTTCACCTGTATCCTTTAGAACACCCCTTTACCCAATAAACCAGGAAACAAAAAAGAATGTTTCTCTGAATTCAGTGAGCTGTTCAAACAAATTATCAAACTAGAGGTGGGAACCTGGATTTTTAGCTGGTAGATCAGAAATACTGGGGACAACCTGGAACTTGTGATTGGCATTTGAAGCAGGGACAGTCTAGAGGAACTGAGCCCTTGGCTTGTGGAATCTAACACTAAGTCCAGGTAGATAGTGTCAGAACAGAATTGAATTGTAAGACACCCAGACTGTGAAGAAGTAACTGGTGTAGGAAAAACACACATTTCTGGTGTCAGAAGTGTTTTGAGAGTAAGGGAGAAACAGGGTTTTTCCATTCACTAGCTTATGTGAAAACAGAAAAAGTAGGTTTGGGGAAGAACACTCATGGAAAATCCTATATAATAAAAAGCTAATATGCAAATCGACTAAATGGCTGAACGACCAGTCGTTATTACATGCACTGACCACCAGGAGGCAGACGCTCAATGCAGTAGCTGCCCCCTGGTGGTCAGTGCGCTCCCACAGGGGGTGTGCCGCTCAGCCAGCAGCTAGGCTCATGACTGGCTAACGCAGCAGTGGTGCTCCTCGGCAATTGGTCATTCCCCGGGGGCTCCTGGATGGCAAGAGGGTACAGGCCGGGCTGAGGGACCCCTACTGGGTGCATGAATTTTGTGCACTGGGCCTCTAGTATCAAATAAGCAGCTTGAAATTTGAGTCTGGAGCACAAAAGAGAGGCTTTAATGGAGATACAGACTTTTAAGTCATCAGTATTGGGCAGTAGGTGAGATCATTCAGGAATAGAGTATCAACTGTGAAGAAGGGAGGGGGAAGAGGCTCAAGGAAAATCCATATTTAAAAGCTGTGTAGAAAAAAAAAAAGCAAATATGAATGAGTCTGGGAGATGATAAGGAATGACCTTTGAGAGTATAAGATCTCTAGAGTGGTATGGGTAGAATCAGATTTCCAGCATCAGAACTATCATGCCTTTTGGAAGAAGAAAGAAGAGTGGAGCCATGAATCGAAAGGCTGAGGGGAGGCCTTTTTTTGGGAGCAGTGGTGGAGGGGGAACAGGAAGATACAGGCCAGAGTGTGTGGATGAAAACACGATCAGCCATTTTCTTTGTAACAAATAAACAACTAGCTTCAGACTACACAAAGAAAAAACCAGTTTGGGAGCATTTCTTATCTTTTAAAATATGCAAGAGAGTGAAAAAGACTACAGCAGGGTCTGACAAAGGTCGAGGGGGGAAAAAATCAACAGCTCAAGCACAATAGCTACTTCACCATGGGATGGTAAAAAGTTTTTAAAAATTTATGAAATAGTTCAAGCACGCATCAACTATTTCATGCCAGAATTGTAATATATTCATAATTGTCATGTACTTAGTCCTCCTACATTCATTTTTCGTTAGAATTTTTATATTATTACCTGCCGGCTGAATGTATTCTGTACGTGCATCCAGTAATCTTCAACTGGATCGTAACAGTATATTGCCTTGGTCAGTCCGCCAGCAACATATATCAAGTTGTTTAAGGATACAGCTGTTATACATCTCTTGGCAATTGGAATAGCTGCACGAAGTAGCCAAGAATTGGTTTCTGGATCATAAGATTGAACCTAATAATACAAAGAAATGTTTAATTAAAATTTCCAAACAAAAATGTAAATTTGCTTAATAAAAAGCCTATCAAGGAAAACCATTATGGCTTGTCTCAGTTTCGGTTCTTCAATCACATGATCTCACACATCTAGGGGAAATAATGAACAACATAAACTGATGAACAAAAACAGACCCTGAGACAAAGTAGCAGCGATCAAGACTGCCAAACCTCAGAGGGAAGGTAGGGGAAGGTAGGAGTAGGGGGAGAGATCAACCAAAGGACTTGTATGCATGCATATAAGCCTAACCAGTGGTCATGGACAACAGGGGGGTTGGGGCATACATGGGGAGGCGTTTGGGATGGGAATGGGGGGATGAGGACAATTATGTGATACCATAATCAATTAAAAAAGAAAAGAAAAAAAAAAGCCTATCAATATATAGAAACATGATTAAAAGTCAAACCCATTAATTCACAGAATTAAGGGAGTTAGCTTGATAGTGAACTTGAAATATGAAATTTTCAAATGTACATTTATTATCATCAAGCAGAATAAAGTAACAGAGATTGCTTCTAGGAGGAATGGCTACCAAGTCTGCTTTACTTATTTCTATTAAAATGAATAGTTTAGATTTAAAAAAAAATTGTATTATATAGCATAACTATAATTTAATCTGAATATCATTTCTTTTCACTTTTAGGGATATCTTTCTTCAAAAGAACATAAATAAATCTCAATTCAGTGTACTCTGAATAACAAATTCTGAATTAATGAATTTTAAATATGTAACTTTTGACCACATTGTGTAAAGTTAATTTAGAAAAAAAATTAATTGATAAAATTCAGTTGATTATTGCTAAACCAATTAGGTAATAGACAGGTGTTTCCAGAATAAACTTTGTATTTCCTGAGATGTCAGGGTAGCATAAGTTCTTTTGTCCAAAAGTTCAATTGAAACACAGCAAATTTGAACGATCCTCCCTTTATATTACAGAGGTTTCCTTTTCTCACCTTTGTTCTAAAAAATACTTGTAAAGTATGCAGAAAATGACCCAGCTGGAGGCGACATAATTAGTAACTGTGTCTTATTCTTTGCTAATTCATTTCCCAACTGTGTTTTGTGTGAATAAGTTTTCGATTCTGTTGACTATAGCAGTAAAAGGTTTAAAACAACTTATTTAGTACAAGATCTCAACATTGAGATTAGTCTCATTTCAAACAGATTAAATCGTGCTTTTTACAGAAAATTGACAGATATGTTAGAATCTCTTTACTAACTTGAAATTCAGTATTTTCCCTCAAAAGTATAAAGTACCAAGTTTTAAAAGGCCTTTCACTCTAAGGAACCTCGCTACCCCCTTGATAAGTCTTGCATATTTCTCTTTTTATATATCATTGGTAATTTCTGTAAGAGATCATGGCTTACCTTATCAGAACAAGTATTATCATCAGGTCCTCCACCAATCACAAACAGTTTGCCTACACAGCTGGTCACAGCAGGAGAACTCACTGCTTCCTTAAGGGGAGCAACTTCAGTCCATCGATTTGAAAAGGAATCGTAACATTCTACGCTGCTAAGTCTGTTCTGCCCATCATAGCCCCCAACAACATATACCTACATATAAAACACATGGGAAAGAATCTCAATTAACAAAGCTGGAATGCTGAACTAGTTGGCTAAAGAATTAAGTGACCTCTCCCCTTTAAAGAGCAACTGATAACTATAACTGCAATATATTTAGCTCAGCTTCTGAAACTTTAAAAAATTTATCACCACCAAAGAGTCTTTTAGACATTTTTTTCATAATAGCCTCCTCCAATGAAATTTAAATACCACAGATAATTGTATATCTGTTTATGTACTGTATGTATATCTGTGCTTTATACATGAAACTACATTTTTTTCTTACCCCTTCAAGAACAAATCTTCACCTCCTTAGGGATAATACTGCTTGAGCTAAGAATTACATGACTTAAGTTTAAATGCTCATACTCATGAATGATGAAAATATAAGATTATGATGAAGTAAGAAAGCTATGTAAATACAATACTAGGTAAGGATTACTAGACTGAGATCTTTGGAGGCAGGGCCGCTCTTGTTCGTATTTTATTTTATTTTTTAAAATGTATTTTTATTGTTTTCAGAGAGGAAGGGATAGGAAGAAAAAGATAGAAGCATCAATGCTGAAAGAGAATCACTGCTTGGCTGCCTCCTGCATGTCCCTTACTGGGGATTGAGCTCCCAACCCAGGCATGTGCCCTTGACCAGAATCTTCAGTCCGAAGGCTAATGCTCTAAGTCTATCCCATGAGCCAAACCAGTTAGAGTTTGTTCTTCATTTTAATCCCTACAAGTGCCTAGAAAAGTACCTGACACATAATGAACTCCATACTATATATTTCAAAGGGCTTTCATGTACATTTTATTTTCACAAATATTAGGAAGATAGGGCAAATTAATATCTTTATATGACAGATGATCTAATGAACAAGCCATTTATTAAATGACTTATATGCAGAATAGTCCATTAAACATAATGAGACATACAAGACACTTCTAACTAAAGGAGCTCTCCTGTTTAACATCCAAAGTTCTTTTAAAGGACAGTCATCATCAACTCTTCCCTCCACACCTAATTAACTATTAATACTTACTGAGTCTTCTTTCACAATATCTCTGACATCTGTCCCTTTCTTTTGTTTCCTGTTGCCATTATCCTCCCTCAGGGTCCATATCATTTCATACCTCTCAATTAAACTCCTGGTCTCTAAATCACAGACTAATCTTACTAAAACAGCTCATCAATTCCTTTTAATAGTTCAATAATGAATGCCTAAGGATCAAGGCTGTTAGTATATATTATCATTGAAAGTCTGTGTTCTGCCAAATTTCCACAGCAGCCAATGCCATTTCTATCTTGCTTTTCTCACATTATGTTAAAAATGATCTGTTGGTGGGTTTGTTCTAACACCATGTAGTTCAGAGAGGCTAAGCAACTTACTCAAGGTTGTGCAGTTAGAAGGGATATGGAAACTGTCCTACAATGCAGCCAGTAGGACATAGGCTTTGAAGTCAGGAGAGGCAGCCAGACAATGTTAAGACTTTGGGCAATTTATACTCTCTGAGACTCAGTCCTAATTTCTTTTTATAAAAAAAGTTAATTGATTTTAGAGAGAGAGAGGAAGGAGATAGGGATGAAGACAGTGGGGCAGGGGGAAAGAGAGAGAGAAAGAGAGAGAGAGAGAGAGAGAGAGAGAGAGAGAGAGAGAGAGAGAGAGAGAGAGAGAGAGAGAGAAATAAATTTGGTGTTCCACTTATTTATGCATTCATTGGTTGCTTCTTGTATGTGCTCTGTTGGGAATCAAACCCACAGGCTTGGCAAACCAGGATGACACTCTAACCAACTGATCTTATCACCCCGCCTAAGGCTACCTAATTTTCCCTACATTAAAAATAAGTGCTGTGAGCATCAAGATAAAACACCACTAGCCTAAGAAAATCTGAGCTTTTGTCCTTTATCACTTTCTGTATAACCTTGGGCAAGTGACTTGGGTCTCTGGATTAACTTTATTAATTTTAAAAAATATGTATATTTTTTTCATTGATTTCAGAGAGTAAGGGGGAGAGAGAGAGAGAGAGAGTGAGAGAGAAACATCAATGATGAGAGAGAATCATTGAATGGCTGCCTTCTGCAAGCCTCCTACGAGGGACAGAGCGCAAAACCCAGGTATGTGCCCCGACCTGGAATTGTGACCTCCTGCTTCATAGGTTGGTGCTTAACTACTGAGTGACACTGGCTGGCCCACTTTATGAATTGAAAAAGTTACAGTAAGTATTCTCTAAGATTCCTTCATGTGCTAAGATTCTATATTCCAAGCCATCCTAGGGTTCTTTTACAGTAGGGGTGTCGAACTCAATCAGAGAAGGGGCCAAAATCTAAAATCCAGCCTAAATCGCGGGCCAAATGGTTTACTGAACAGTCATAAACTGTCATTGTGATGGAAACGCAGCGGAGTGCAGTGATGACAGCGCGGTGCGGGCCACATTGCAAGGCCTGGTGGGACGAATTTGGCCCGCGGGCCTTGTGTTTGACACATGTGTTTTACAGAGAACATTTATAAATTTAAATATTTTTATTTTTTTTAATGTATTTTTTTATTGATTTTTCAGAGAGGAAGAGAGAGGGGGAGAGAGTTAGAAACACCGATGAAGGAGAATCATCGATCAACCGCCTCCCGCACACCCCCCACTGGGGATGTGCCCGCAACCAATGTACATGCCCTTGACTGGAATCGAACCTGGGACCCTCCGGTCCGCAGGCTGACGTTCTATCCACTGAGCCAAACCGGTTTTGGCACAATAAATTTAAATATTTGTATAGGTTTGAATTCAGCCTATATTGTAAACTTTAGAATAATTGTTTCCATGGATTGAGTACTTGCTGTATAAAGTAGGAAGGATTCCTTTTATTTTTTTAAAAAAAATATATATATTTTGTTGATTTTTTATAGAGAGGAAGGGAGAGAGATAGAAAGCTAGAAACGTCGATGAGACAGAAACATTGACCAGCTGCCTCTTGCACACCCCCTACCGGGGATGTGCCCGCAACCAACGTACATGCCCCTGACTGGAATCGAACCTGGGACCTTTCAGTCCGCAGACTGACGCTCTACCAATGAGCCAAACCGGTTTTGGCTATTTCTTGATTTAGTGATTCCAAACTTTGGGTAGCTCAAGTCAAATATACTGATATTCATGAAATAAATTTGTGTTAATCCATATAAAGTATTTGATAAATAATTTTAATACCTTTGTATGTTGACTAATTATTTTGTTTTATTTATTTATTTTAATATATTTTATTGATTTTTTTTTTTTTACAGAGAGGAAGGGAGAGGGATAGAGAGTTAGAAACATAAATGAGAGAGAAACATTTATCGGCTGCCTCCGGCACACTCCCTACTGGGGATGTGCCTGCAACCAAGATACATGCCCTTGACTGGAATCGAACCTGGGACCCTTCAGTTCACAGGCTGGTTAGGGCTAATTATAATATTTTTAGTCAAACCTCATCTCTTCCCCTTATTTTAGCAGTCCCTTTTCAGTAAAATTTTGTCATTCTTGAGGCATAGCTACCAAAACTATATATAACATAGTAAGTACTGCCAAACCAGGGTTTTATAAAATATTCTATTAATATTTTCTTTCCATTACATCTATCTAATATTTCCATTACAAATATCTAATATTTCACTGACCTTGTTGACAACAGCACAACACTAGATCAATATCCTTAGGAATAATAATAATAAAAAAATCCTTAGGAATTAACCGTGGCTTTCCTCTGTGCTTTGAGAAGCTCTGGTATTCTAGAGTAGAGACAGATTATCTAGAACACATGTGTCAAACACAAGGCCCGCAGGCCAAATCCGTCCCGCCAGGCCTTGCAATGTGGCCCGCACCTCGCTGTCATCACTGCACTCCGCTGCGCTTCCATCACAATGACAGTTTATGACTGTTCAGTAAACCATTCGGCCCGTGATTTAGGCTGGATTTTAGATTTGGCCCCTTCTCTGATTGAGTTCAACACCCCTAAAGAAGCCTCTATGGGCATGGGAGAGGGGAGGCTGTGTGGGAGAGGTTCCTGGTACCATCTCTGTTTCAAATTAGAGCAATTCTGTTTTCTCATTGGTAGCTCTGAAATATCTCCACAGGAGAGCCTGGTACTAAGGGACCAGTCAAAAATACACGTGGCCGAAACTGGTTTGGCTCAGTGGATAGAGCGTTGGCCTGTGGACTGAAGGGTCCCAGGTTGGATTCCGGTCAAGGGCATGTACCTTGGTTGCGGGAACATCCCCAGTAGGGGGTGTGCAGGAGGCAGCTGATTGATGTTTCTCTCTCACCGATGTATCTAACTCTCTAGCCCTTTTCCTTCCTCTCTGTAAAAAATCAATAAAATATATTAAAAAAAAAATACATGTGCAAGCAAGTAGGCTGCTTTTTCTTAGACTGTCAGTTTGAGGAGGCTTTGGAAGAGCTGATAGAGATGGACGTAGGGAAAAACTAAAGGACCCAAGTTAGCTCTTGGAATAAAATTTACATTAGATTTAACTTTAAAAAGGAGGGAGTAGTTACTTTTAAAAAGTTTGGAGACCACTAGTCCACAAGTGATTCCCAAGTTCCTAAGAACAGCATCCGAACCAAATTACATAGTTTTTATAAAACTTATTAGCTGCAGTCAATAACAAGTTTAGTTTAAAATATGTTGGTGAGTTTATTGTATTTGCATACTTGCTTTAAGTTTGTTTTGCCGCTACTTGTACAAATGAAAAAGATAAAATAGCATCACTCTAGATAAATATATCTCTGCCTGACTGCCAAAGTGAGTAAAAGGAAAAAAACTGCTTGGATTAGACGTTGGCATGTTTTTGTACTCAATGCAATGCCTTTATTTTCCAATGCTTCTTAGGCATTTAGACTCCAATGGCGCATGAAAAGAGAAATATGGTGTACTATCACGAATTCCAAATTGAGAGAACAAACTATCCATTCAAAAGTACAGTGTCAAATTGTTTATATCTTTGGTTTATCTATTGAGGTTAGAAATGGAAGGAAATACAATTTGAAGCCAAAATACCCAGAGGGTGAGTAAAATAAAGGATTCAGCTGTGGTATTTATTTTGGAAATGTACCAGCAATAGTGATAAAAAGTGGTTTCTCTTACTTTACCCAGGAGGACAGCCATTTTGTGACGCCATCTGCCTTTGTTTAGAGAAGCAACTCTGATCCAAATATTTAACTGTGAATTATAAATCCAGACATCACGGCCATTGATTCTTCCACCTTCAAATGCAAAACAATGCGCATTCAATAAATATGTACCTATCACCAAAGGATCTGTGCCCAAGGCATAAATAATAAAACACGGGATTTCTTCACTCAGCCCAAGGATTTAAGAATTCAGTTCAATAAATGAAAACAAGGACCCTCTGAAAGCTTAATGCAAATAGTTCTACAGAACAGACTTTAACATTGCCAACAGTTATCTTGAGAAATAATGACAGCCTGGCTCGCGTGGCTCAGTTGTTGACCCATGAATCAGGAGGTTATGGTTAGATTCCTGGTCAGGGCACATGTCCAGGTTGCCGGCTTTTTCCCCAGTGGGGGGTGGCCAGGAGGCAGCTGATCAATGATTCTATCTCTGTCTCCCTCTCCTGTCCTCTCTGAAACAAATAAAAATATATCTTAAAAATAAAATAAATAATTATAGGCCTCAAATAATAAAATGCAAACTCTGAATTTTACAAATATATATAGATTAATTTAGGAGTCGGTCATCAGAAGCACCCGAAAAACAGAATTATTATTATTATTTAAAAATATATTTTTATTGATGAGAGAGAGAGAGAAAGAGAAAGAGAGAGAGAAACACATCCATGATGAGAGAGAATCATCGATCAGCTGCCTCCTGCACACCCCCTACTGGGGATCAAGCTGGCAACCCAGGCATGTGCCCTTTAATTACAGGAATTAAACCTGTAATCTCCTGGTTTCTAGGTCGGCACTCAACCACTGAGCCAAGCTGGCTGGGCCAGAATTATTTTTTTAAAAGATATTTTATTTATTTTATTGTTTAAAGTATTACATATAGTAGTATATATTGTATGTATCTCCTTCTCTACCCCCCTATTGTCCTTCCCCCAGTCTCCCCTACTCCCTGTCACATGCCCTCATTCCACCCCTCCCCCCCCAGTATCTTGTGTCCATTTAAAAAAATTTTTAATTGATTTTTTACAGAGAAGGCAGAAGGATAGAGAGTTAGAAACATCGATCAGCTGCCTCCTGCACACCTCTTACTGGGGAAGTGCCTGCAACCAAGGAACATGCCTCTGACCGAAATTAAACCTAGGACCTTTCAGTCTGCAGGTGGATGTTCTATCCACTGAGCCAAACCGGTCAGGGCCAGAATTACTTTAAAAATTTTTTTAAAAATGACTGAGTTTTAAAAAGGCATACCATTGTACAAAATAAAATGTCTTGTTATATGTTCAATATGTAGTAATCTAGTGATCTGCAAAGCTAGTAGGATTAGTTAATCAATTAACAGACTTAAGACCATAGATACTGTAGTTACAGCAAAATGTCATCTTGGTTTTATTTGTCGTGTAAACGGATCTGCCTAAAGTGGGCATAATAACCAGTGTCACTGTTTTCTTCTGTGACACTTTTAATTTAAAACAACCAAGCTATGTTCAAATTAAAAGTAGCTACAACAGTTCTTTATTACCTGAAACAAGAATGTCATTCCTTAGTGCACAGACTGCATACTCTGATTTGGTGAATTCCGGAAGCTTAGCCAAAGACTTCCATTCTCCGGTCACAGGATCGTAGCACTCAGTGTACGGAAGGTTAAACCCTCCGACGCGTTCACAGCCGCCAACGACGACGATCACCTCCGAGTAGCCGGTTGACCTAGAATGATTATAAGAATGAATAAGCAATATGGTTAAAATATACTCAAGATTATTTCAGACCCTAAAAGCATACCATAAAGAACGTGGAATAGTATTATAAACAGTTTAATTTATTCTCTTTGAATGTACCAATTAACACAAGCTATTAATTGCTACTTTGAGAACATTTACAAGGGATTTAATGTTATTTTTTTCCACAGAAAATTCCTGAGTATTTTTTTTTTGTTGAATTTGCCTTAAAAAATGGAAAATGGTCCAAAGAGCCTTACCTAACTCAATCGGAACTCTGGTAATATTAAGGATGATTTTCAAGTGAAGTTTTGCAGTAATTGAGATGTGCACCACCACACAAGGTGATGATGCACTTTTTCTAAGTGTAAGAAAATGATATTTCTCTGTCAGATTGCTAGGTCTAAAAAAGTCACTTCACAGTATAATCTACTACCCTGTAAAGGAGTACAGTTACGTGCCACATAAGTTGTTTGGGTCAAAAACAGACTGAAGATAGAAGGAAGGGGGTAGGGGGTCTCATAAGACGGTAATGGAGCTGAAAAACCCCCATCACCTAGTGACATCAGAGCGGCCATAAAGTTGCAGTGCAATGCATCACTCATGTTTGTGGAGATGCTGGTGCAAACAAACCTATGGCACTGCCAATCATATAAAAGTATAGCACATAGATTTATGTGTAATACATAACACATGAAAATTATAGTAAATGAGTATATTTATGTATTAACTATACTCTATTTTTAAAAAAATGTATTTTATTGATTTTTTACAGAGAGGAAGAGAGAGGGATAGAGAGAGTTAGAAACATCGATGAGAGCGAATCATCCGTCAGCCGCCTCTTGCACATCCCCTACTGGGGATGTGCCCGCAACCAAGGTACATGCCCTTGACCGGAATCGAACCTGGGACCTTTGGGTCCGCAGGCCGACGCTCTATCCACTGAGCCAAACCGGTTTTGGCAACTATACTCTACTTTAAATCGTTGTTTTGGAGTGTACTCTTTACACTTGTCATACCAGAAGCAGCCTCATACATTTTGCTTATTGTGTCTCCTGACTGCATCGTTTTCTCTTGTGTTTGATTTCATCTCAAGTAGTCTTGTACAGAGGCAAGAGGCAATACCGTACAGTCTAGGTGTGCAGTGGGCTATTCAGCCTATGTTTGTGTAAATGACTCCACGATGTCTGCATATAAAATCACCTAAAGAGGAATGTCTCAGAATGTATACCTTTCACTAAGCAATGTGATTGTGTATGTATAGAAATTATTAAAAAAAATTTTTTTTAAGTTAAGTAAATTTAGGTAATCCCATTCAAAATGTTGGTAGTCACTAAAAATGTTATTACAGTTTATAACAAAGAATGTTAAGAAAAAAGCAAGATAAAAAGCTGTACATGCCAAAACTAGTTTGGCTCAGTAGATGAAGCATCGGCTTGTGGACTGAAGGGTCCTGGGTTCCATTCTGGTCAAGGGCATGTCCCTTGGTGCAGGCACATCCCCAGTGGGGTATGTGCAGGAGGCAGCTTATTGATGTTTCTCTCTCATTGATGTTCTTAACTCTCTATCCTTCTCTCTTTCTCTCTGTAAAAATTCAATAAAATATATTTTGAAAAAAGCTGTACATAAGGTACAATTAATACTTATATTAAAAAGGGCTGCACCCAGCCAGTGTGGCTCAGTGGTTAGGTGTTGACCTATGACCTAGGAGGTCATGGTTTGATTTCTGGCCAGGGCACATGCCTGGGTAGCAGGCTTGACCCCCCAGTAAGGGGCGTGGCGTGCAAGAGGCAGCCAATCAATGATTCTCTCTCATCACTGATGTTTCTATCTCTCTCTCTCCCTCTCCCTTCCTCTCTGAAATCAGTAAAAATATATTAAAAAAGAAAAAATAAGATAAAAGAAAAAAAGGTCCTGGCTGGTGTGGCTCATGTTAGTTGAGCTGTCCTATGCACCGAGAGTTCAACGGTTCGATTCCCAGTCAGAGCACATGCCCACGTTGTGGGCTTGATCTCTAGTATGGGCACGCAGGAGGCAGCCAATTGATGGTTTTCTCTCAGAGATATTTCTCTTTCTCTCCCTTGCCCTTCCTCTCTTCTCTCTAAAATCAATAAAACAAATTTAAAAAATAATAGACCAAAATGCTAATGATGATTGTTTCTGGATGTGTGGCTTTCCCACTTTCTAACATAAAATTTCAAAAATAATGAGCATGGGCTATTTTTAGAATGAAAAAACAACTTTTAAGAGCATTAGGAGAGTCCCAGAGTTTATGTTGAACACTGCCTTTTTAATTTTGTACTTTAAATTTAAGATAGAGACAGGAAAAACTAAGGGCTTATCCAAGCTCACTTTGTTCATAAGGGTCTATGGGATTTTAAAGTTAGTTGGCTTTGCCCAGGCCAGTGTGGCTCAGTTAGTGGGAGTGTTGTCCTCTGCACCAAGAGGTTGCTGGTTTGATCCCCAGTAAAGGCACATACAAATATGTTATTTACCTGTTTATACAGTGAATGCATAAACAGGTAAATAACAAATTGATATATCTCTCTTTCTCTTTCCCTCCCTTACTCCTTTTAAAATCAATAAATAAAAATTCTAAAAGAAATTATGAGATATGGTTTTTACTTTCCAGAGTAGCAAAGATTTACAAAAACTAATAATATGATATGCTGACAAAGGAGTTGAGAAATAGATACTTTCACATTTTTGGCTGAAGTATAGTTTGGAAGAAAATTTTATACAGTAGCTACCAAAACTAAGAATGCCCATATCCTATGACTGAGTTGACTGAGCAATTCTATTTCTAGTAATTCAAATTATAAATTATCAGTGTATGCAGACATATGCACAATACTGAGCATTCTTTGTAATGACAAAAATCTAGAAACAACGTAAACATCTATCATTAAGAGATGAAGCAAATAAATTATGGTATCCATATATGGGGCACTATACAATTTTTAAAAAATGATTTGAGACCTGGCCAGTGTGGTTCTCTTATATGGATGTTTTTTTTTTTTTTTCTCTTTCCACCTCCCTCCCTCCCTTCTGCTCTCTCTAAAAATCAATAGAAAAAAATATCCTTGGGTAAGGATTAACAAACAAAAAAAGATTTGAAAAAATTCATAACAAAAGTAAAAATAAATGAAAAAAAAAAGTATTTTATGTGATGATATAGAACAATCAACAAGATACTTTTAAGTTATAAAAACAAGGTGTAAAACTGTAGTACCCTACTATCTGCATAAACAAAAGTGGGAGTACGTGGGTATGCACACATGTGTGCACACACACACACCATACTTATATGCAAAGAATATTTCTAAAAAAGAGTTCAAAAATTTGGTAACAGAGGTATCCTTTGGGACAACTGATATACCAAAGGTCAGGTAGAGGGAAAATTACAATATATATATGCTTTTATATAATAATGTTTGAGTTCAAAATAACAATGAATTAACATGTATTAAAAATGGGAAACCCCCTATCCTCTAATATAAAATAACATCCTTAAGAGGGACTGGAACAAAAATTCACAACAAAAAATTTTAGTCTTGCCTCTGCCACTAAGTAACATTATGACAAGAACAAATTGGTTCATTTAACTGTGCTTCAGTTTTATTACCTATAAAATAAAGACTGAAGGTATTTATTAATCTTAAAAAACTATTTTTTTTAGATTCAACATTATTTTGTATTAATTTCAGGTGGACAGCATAGTGGTTAGATAATCATATACTTTACAAAGTGTTCCCCCTGATGTTTCCAGGACCATGCAGTATCATACCTAGTTATTACAATATTATTATTTTTTAATTTATTTTTAATTTATTTTTATTTTTTAAATTAAATTATTATCTGTGTACATATTTTAACATTGCCCCCCCTCCCCCCATATTACAATATTATTGACTATGCATCCTAGTGGCTATTTTGTCACTACCAGTTTGTACTTAGTCCCTTCACCTTTCATACCCAGTCCCCCAGCTCCTCTCCTTTCTGGCAACCATGAGTCTTTTCTCTATATTTACAGGCCTCTTTAAACTAAAACACCATTTCTTTAAAGAACACACAAAAAACAGTTTTCTCAAATGGTTCCTAATAGGAACTTGAACCTTGTTCTCATTATGGCAGTTATATTCCGATATTCATTAAATAGTAACTGATTATTGGACAAGAGGTAGGAGCTTATTAAATATTAGCTACCTATTGCTCAATGGAGTATAGCAAAGAACATTTTTCCCCTCATAAATATGAATAATTTATACTTAAAATGAACCATTTGATAGCAAGCATTTCTGCTTCAATCACATTTCCTATTCTGTAAAAGTGCAGCATAAATTTAAAATGTATTTTCTTCATGAAACCAGTAATACTTTTTATTAAGTGTTTTTGTGTGTGTGTGTCTGTGTGTGTGTGTGTGTCAAATGCTAGGGTATGCATTCTTTCATATGATATCTCTAATACAACAATTTAAAAAAATATATGTATTTTTATTGATATCAGAGAGGAAGGAGGAGGGAGAGAGAGAAACATCAATGATGAGAGAGAATCATTGATCGTCTGTAGCCCCACACTGGGGATCGAGCCTGCAATCCAGACATGTGCCCTTGATTGGAATTGAATCCAGGACCCTTCAGTCTGCAGGCTGACACTCTATCCATTGAGCCAAATTGGCTAGGTACTCACAACAATTTTACAAGGTACATACTATTATGCTCATTTTACAAATGCGAAAACTGATACATAGTGTAGTTAAAGTGCCTTGCCCAAGATCATAGAATTAACTAGTATACAGCCAGATTATAATTAGGCCTGTCTGTTTCTGAAGTCAGTACTTTAATATATTTTATTGATTTTTCACAGAGAGGAAGAGAGAGGGATAGAGAGTTAGAAACATCAATGAGAGAGAATCATTGATCAGCTGCCTCTTGCACACCCCCTACTGGGGATGTGCCTGCAACCAACGTACATGCCCTTGACTGGAATCGAACCAGGGATCTTTCAGTCCGCAGGCTGACGCTCTATCCACTAAGCCAAACCAGTCCCGCTGAAGTCAGTACTTTAAACACATCATGATGCTTGCACTTGGTGTTTATTAAAAAATAATATTATGGCCCTCGCTGGTTTGGCTCAGTGGATAGAGCATCAGCCTACGGACTGAAGGGTCCTGGGTTCGATTCCAGTCAAGGGCACATGCCCGGGTTGCAGGCTCGATCCCCAGTAGGGGGCATGCAGGAGGCAGCCAATCAATGATTCTATCTCATCATTGATGTTTCTATAGCTCTCTCCCTCTCCCTTCCTCTCTGAAATCAATAAAAAATATTATTAATATTATGTATTAGCACAGACATTTAAGGTTGCATAATATATATTATTAAAAAGACAACTGCTCTTCCTAACCTTTGCTCCTTCTGTGACTGGTCTCCACTGTTTTGTCTTCATGCACTCAACAAGTCAGAATCACAAAAAAGAAATTGTTCTGAAATAAGAGAGACTTCATGGAAATAACCAGATGCAGTAAGTGATCCTGGATTAGATCCAGATTCATTAAGGAACAGTCTGGAGGAAGTATGTATATGAATTGGGTATTAGATGATATTAAATAACTATTAACTTTAAGTGTGGTATTATTTTGCCTGTTATCTTTTTAAAAAGATGCATCCTCAAGCAAAAAATAAAATAAAATAAAATAAAATAAAATAAAAAGTAACATTGGCTGAATGAATGAATGAATGAATGAAAGAAAAAGTCTGGACTGAGATATAGGTTTGATAGTTAATAGCATGCATGGTAATTAAAACCATGAGAATAGATGTGATCGCCTAGGAAAGTGTGTAAGGCAAGACAAAGAGATGTGAACCAAAGGGACTATCAACATTCCCAAGGCTAGATATAAACCATCAACTGGAAAAGAGCAGCTGGATAAGTAAGAGGACCATGAAGAAAATGGTACTCCACAAGCTAACGGAGTTTCAAGAGGGATTAAAGCAATTTATAATGTCAAATTCTAAAGAGAGATGAAGCTGGATAAAGACTGAAAAGAGGTGTCTAACAAATAGCAAACAGAAGGTCAGTGATGATTTGATTGAGAGGAGTTTCAGGAGAGTGACTGGAGCAGAAGTCAGAGGAAGGAACTGCAGTTGAAGAAGTGGAGACATCACCCCTTTTTCAAAGAAGTTTGGAGTTTTTCAGAAAGATGATAACCTGTACAAATAATACATATTGTTCAGATAATGAAATTCCTAGTGCTGGGTACTAAATGCAGTAACAAGTAAGTGAAAGACAATATGAGGGACAGAAGCTAATTGCAGAGTTGTAAAATAAAGGATTCATCACAAAATAAATATCTGCTATTACATTCATAATAGTCTGTAAACTCAATATAACTATATATTTTTTTCTTTCTATTAATATTTGCCTTCTAAAGAAAGGTGATATAGCAATCTTTTATATAGATGTGATCCACTGTATAAAATGGATTGGTCCCCTTCAAAATTGCAAGTAACTTTTTAGAAATCAAATAATTAAGTGAATCAGGAAAAGTATTTATTATCTTCATCTAACCTAATTAGCCTGAGGCTCCAAATGTTCATTCAGGTCATTTCTTTGTAAATAACATCTATTCAATACATTAATATAATAAAAGAGAAACATGCAAATTGACCATCACTTCACAATGCCCACCAGCCAATCAGGAGTGAGTATGTAAAATAACCTGACAAAGATGGCAGCCTCACCCCCCCAACCACTCTGGCGTCTGGGCAGCATGCATAAAGGCACAGAGTAGCTGGGCTGGGCTGGGCTGGGCAAGGCGGGATGCCTGCTATGAGGAGGAGGGCGGGGGAGGGGGGAGGAAGGGGGAAAGAGGGACGGAGGGAGCTACAGGAGAAACACTCTAGCTGGAGCGAAGACTGAAGGCTCTGGCCTGAGTGAAGATGGAAGGCAGCAACCAGAGCCAAGGCCTGGGTCCCGGGTGCTGAGGAAAACCAGTGCCGGCAGCCAGGGGAAGAAAAATCTGTTGCACAAATCTTCATGTAACGGGCCTCTAGTTAATAATAAATGATTTATTTTGATTTTACAACATATATCCCTTGGTCCCTATTTTAATTTTATGAACTATGCAGAATAGGTATTAGGAGCCCTATTTGATCCCAAAACACTCTTCTGCTACAAGGGACTCTGTTTGGAAGAAGGAGTGATTTCCGTGGAGGGATACTGTGCATCCAGAAAAGTTGTGGAATATCCCTGAAGCTGTTTAGTTTTCTTAATACATTTAAAAACCTTGGCCTCTCCACATTTTTAAACTCAGCCCAAATCTCTGAACAGTCTTTAAAACAAAACAAAACAGGAACTTAGAAAAAAATCAGCACACTTATAGAATAAAATTGTATTTTTTTTATCCTTTGTTAAACAATTAACAATTTTTAAAAAACTAGAGTCAGTGTTTTTGTTTTATTGAGATATAATTGTACAATATTTAATGGCATTAAACATAATATACATTTTCCAAATTCTGTATGATGATATAAATTTTATAATCAGAAAAAAATTTAAAAATTGAGATTAACATTAAATATAGTAACTATGGCAATGAGAAAAGATCTGAAGGTTGGGTTTTATATCTGAGAATCCACTCAATGTACATGAGCTTAATTACTCCACCTCTATATTTCATGTTGTCTGTTAGTCTGCCAAAGTCTTTAGCTCCTTTCTATCCAAACTCTCTCTGGAAAGAAAAGTGGAATGCTTTGGGACTCTACAAAGGCTACAAGAAATTAGTAGAAATATGTTGAGACATGCACAGCTACAAAGACCCTTTGCAACACTCCCTGACAGTTTAGAACAATAACAAAGAATGAATCTAGTCGTCACTGGGAGAGACATTTAAAACAAATCTTAAATTATATACATCTACATGCAACAATACGTATACATGACTACACTGAAATTACCTTCAGGAAGTTTAAAATACGTTAAAAACAAAAACTTTCGTTAATTATATGATAGTTAATTTATAAACAGTTTTCTTACCTTCGTGGCCTAGTCCTTGGGGACATCATTTCATTCCCAAGTATGTGGTACCGCCTTGCTTCGTGCAACAACTGGTAACACTCAGGAGAATTCTGGATCAATTGGTCCACCTCAACTGTCTGAACAAAGTAGTTGGGATGCAACAGAGGGAGTCTCACATGTGTCAGAAGCTCATGTAATAGTGGTCTTCTCAGATCGACAGCACGATAGACCCAACGCATGACAGCTTCAAAAACCATCTCCTCTTTACTAATAACAAGTTCATCACTACAAATATAATCAATAAGTTCATCTTTGTCAAGCTCAAGAAACTCTTCGTGCTGGGACACATCCTCAAAAGTCTGTAACGCGAAAGTCTTGCATTTTGTGAAGAGTGTCTTGAGCGAGTGGGTATCGGCAAAGCGCTGAATTCCTAAGCAATTACAAGGATCAAGTTGCTCCTCCAAGAACTTGGCGCACGCATCACGGAGAACGCTGATCTGAAAGAGGCTTGATGTTTCAAAGATGTACTGTACGTTCTCTGTAGTGATCTTCACCTTCCCAGTATACACATACTGCAAAAAACATTCCATAGCTTCGGCTAAAATGCCATTGATTTCAACCAACATTTCTCGGCTTTCCCTGTGGTCATTACAAAACATAGCTCTGAAGTAGCTACTACAGGCTGACAGAACAGCTCTGTGGCAAGGAAATTCTTTCCCTTCCACACAAATGATGACATCTGTGAATAACCGGTTATCTCGGAATTCATTAAATATCTGGAGTATGTTTTCAGCATGGGATGATCCTGAAGAGAAGTCAAAAAATTCATGGCCTGTCAGAGATTTAGGGTCCATCTCAAAAACTTTACGCTTCGTTGCTGGGGAATCACGCACCCCGAGATCCTCTCTGTTTAGTCTTCGTCCTAATATTAGGACCATCGTTACATCAGTTGACTATATAACTGTTGAGAAATGACTGTTAGGGATCTTTACGTGGCTAAAAGTGAAAAAACAAACAGTGAAAACATTTTAATAAGTAAAACATTCAGTATTCTAATTATATAACTTCATTTTGATGTAACTCTGCAACAGAATCGTGTAATATATTTCATGTAGGATATAGAGTTTGTTTTAATAAACCTTGATAAATTAAAATTGCATTTGCACAATTAGACCCCCAGGTGAAAGGATACCATGTACTTTGTGAATTACTAATAACCTTCTGTCTTCCCTTTTACACACTGGGTTTTATCCACTGACTATAAAGGTAAGTCAGAATACTGTAAGACACAGAACTTGACTATATTCAGAATCCTAAAATAAGTGTATATTATCTTAATACACTAGTGTTGCTAGACAGGAATTCAATTATATTTATTAATGGTCTTTAAAAATATGTATATTGTTTGACTAGCAAGTTCTTTTCCAGCATTACTAAGGAAATAACAGGGTATGTAGAAAGATTTATCTACAGAGATACCCAATGCTGTATTTAAAAAATATATATATATTTTATTGATTTTTCACAGAGAGGAAGGGAGAGAGATAGAGAGCTAGAAATGTCGACGAGAGAGAAACATCAACCAGCTGCCGCTTGCACAACCCCTACCGGGGATGTGCCCGCAACCAACGTACATGCCCTTGACCGGAATCGAACCTGGGACCTTTCAGTCCGCAGACCGACACTCTACCACTGAGCCAAACCAGCTTCGGCCCAATGCTGTATTTTTAAAAATATATATTTTATTGATTTTTTACAGAGAGGTAGGGAGAGGAATAGAGAATTAGAAACATCAATGAGAGAGAGACATCGATCAGCTGCCTCCTACACCCCCCCCACTGGGGATGTGCCCGCAACCAAGATACGTGCCCTTGACTGGGACCTTTCAGTCTGCAGGCCGATGCCCCACCTACTGAGCCAAACCAGTTTCGGCCCCAATGCTGTATTTTTTAAAACACATTTTGATTTCAGAGAGGAAGGGAGAGGGAGAAGGAGAGAGAGAAACATCAATGATGAGAGAATCATTGATCGGCTGCCTCCTACACTCCCCCACTGGGAACTGAGCCCACAAACCAGGCATGTGCCCTTGATTGGAATCAAACCCAAGACCCATAAGTCCCGAGGCTGACGCTCTAACCAGTGAGCCAAACCAGCTAGGACCCCAATGCTGTTTTAATAAAAATACTTAAAACAACTTAAATGACCTAAATAGGGGATTAAACCAAAGTACATCTTAAGGATAGAACACAGTCTATGCAGCCTTTAAAAAATTAAGTAGACTAGCCCGGCCAGTGTGGCTTAGTGGTTGAGCATCAACCTATGAACCAGGTGGTCACAATTCAATTTCAGGGCAGGGCACATGCTGGGTTTGGGCTCAATCCCCAGTAGGAGGCATGCAGGAGGCAGTTGATCAATTATTTTGATCATTGAAGTTTCTCTCGTTTCCTCTTTTTTTCCCCCCTCTGAAATCAATAAAAAGTTATTTTAAAAAATTATGTAGACTAATGACATGGGGAAGAGTTAACTAGATAGTAAGTGAAAAGGAAATCATAAAACATATGCTAAAGAAATAGAAAATTTATGAATCAATGCATCTAGAGATAGAAAAAAGGAGGCACATATGCCAAAATCTGAAGTGATTCGTTTTGTTTTTCTCTATTTCCCTCTAAATGTCCACTATACATAGGAAATAATTTGTTTTTAAACCTCGCTCAGAAGTGACTATGGATAGGTAGCTAATGAATTGAGGCACTGGGCTATAGCTATCAATTGTCTTAAATTTTAATTTTTAAGGTGGTTCTTCTCCTACTCGATTTTCACATTTTAAGTTGATATATGACTCAAAATGCATTTATCCATTGGCTTAAGAGCACTCGGGGTAGCTCTCATCTATGCCCTTGCCTTCAGAATTTCATACTTATAAAGGTCCCAGCTTTTTCCTGAAATATTTCAACAGTCAGATATCCAGGCCAAATGATGGTAGCATGAAGAATACTTAACATTATGAAAAACAGTATGGAAGTTGCTAAAAAAATTAAATATAGAACTATCACATGATCTAGCAATTCCACTTCTGGGTATTTTTCTGAAGAAATCCAAAATACTAATTTGAAAAGATATATGCATCCCTTTGATCACTGCAGCATTATAGAATCTCCCTTTTGGGTAAAAGGGACAAGATTTTCTTACATAAATGAAAAGATATTCTGTGTTCTGTATTTAATAATCTACACATCTAGGGGAAATAATGAACAACATAAACTGATGAACAAAAACAGACCCAGAGACAGAGAAGCAGCGATCAAGACTGTCAAACCTCAGAGGGAAGATAGGGGAGGGTGTGGGAATCGGGGAGAGATCAACCAAAGGACTTGTGTGCATGCATATAAGCCTAACTAGTGGTCAGGGACAACAGTGGGGTGGGGGCATATGTAGGGAGGGGTTTGGGATGGGAATGGGGGAATGAGGACAATTACGTGATATCATAATCAATAATAATAAAAAAATCTTACTGTGTTTGTTTTCTAGTATCTTACTGTATTAACTTTGGGGTAGCATATTGAGTGAGTTAAGTATTAATATAAGGCTGATTAAAACTTATGTGCTCTTTGCCCTAACCAGTTTGGCTCAGTGGATAGAGCATCGGTCTGCAGAATGAAGGGTCCCAGGTTCGATTCCGGTCAAGAGCATGTACCTTGATTGTGGGCACATTCACAGTAGGGGGTGTGCAGGAGGCAGCTCATTGATGTTTCTCTCTCATCGATGTGTCTAACTCTCTCTCCTTCTCTCTTCCTCTCTGTAAAAAAATCAATAAAATATGTTAAACAAACAAAACTTGTGTGCTCTCCCTCCTGGGAGCACACCCTTGGGCCTTTCCCTGCCCTTCCTCCCTCACAGGCATGCATCCCCTAAACTCTAAGGCAGGTGTCGGCAACCTGCGGCTCCAGAGCCGCACGCGGCTCTTTTGAAGCTTCACCGCGGCTCCGACAACTGGCAAGCCCGTGTGAAAATGAAGGCAACGTCTTACAGCCCTGATGTGCTGACACTGTGCACTGAGGTTCAGGAGCAAAAATCCCATTAACCAGGTAAATTAAATATTTTAATTAGCTATTAACTTGCAAAAATATATTTTACATTGTTAAGTGAAAAAGTCCTTTTTTTTTTTTTTCAGATTGACAGCTAACTGCACGATCCGGTATACAGCATTAAGGTAAGAAACAATATATGCAGTGTTATATTTGTTTTAAATGTCGCAATGGTTTTGTGACTCCCAGGTTTTTTTTTCCTTAGGAAATGGGTCCAAGTAGCTCTTTATGTCTTAAAGGTTGCAGACCCCTGCTCTAAGGGATCCCACTAAGACTTGCAACCAGGGAACCATGGAGCAGCGGACAGCTTGTCCTGGGTTAACCCCCTGAACCTGTCTCCAAGGCCCCACTTTTTTGATCTTGCAGTGAGCTGACAACAGCCAGCCTTGGCTCACTTCGTTCACTGTGGCTTTTACTTCTCAGTGAGCCAAAGCAACCCCTCACCTAGGCTCATTCCTTTCCTAGAGCATTACTAAGTGACTCTGCCTAGGCTCTCCTGTTGCTGCTTCTGTCCCAAGTTCTTCCTTGTTTCAATGTCCTCAGTTTTAATAAACTGCTTTCAAAAATTTAAAAACACACACAAAACCCAAAAACTTTCTAGGAGTTAAGGATCTATCTTTTTATGATATTTCCTGCCCCTTATTCTCATAGCTGTTTTTGTTTTTAAAAAAATATATTTTATTGATTTTTTACAGAGAGGAAGGGAGAGTGATAGAGAGCTAGAAACATCAATGAGAGAGAAACATCAACCAGCTGCCTCCTGCACACTCCCTGCCTGAGATGTGCCCGCAACCAAGGTATATGCCCTGACCAGAATCAAACCTGGGACCTTTCAGTCTGCAGACCGACACTCTATCCACTGAGCCAAACCTGTTTCAGCTCATAGCTGTTTTTTCAATAACTGACTGACAAGAGCTCTTTCATGTCTTTTACCCAACGTAATCCTGGATTAGAACAACTATAAAAATCACCCGCTATTATAAAGTTTTCAACAGCAACAAGATACTTGTCTACTGCTTTGCTTGTAAGTGGCTGTCTCTTAGACCTGGGCTGTTTCCTTCTGAGCAGCTTTGGCTTGGCTTTTGGACATCCTGACTTCTGTGGACTTTCTGGGAGTCTCCCATTAATCAGTCTCCACAAAGCATAAAACATAAACTCTTCCTAGATGACAGGGTGGGTAAATGATTTGCACAGAAGGATCTTAGAAATAAGAGATGCATTTCAAAGTTTATCTTTTGGGCTTCTATATGTTAATTTATTAGCCTTTGTTTCCCCATTTTACACAAATCAAGTACTTTATTTTAACTAGTAATGGAAAAAGCAAGAAATCAATTTGGCATCTCTGGACAAAACAAGAGGAAAACGTTTGTTCCAAGGAAATTTAATTAGAAAATTACACTGAGTGGCCAGACTATTATGATCTCCGAACGCATAATAATCTGGCCACTGTGTGTGTGTGTGTGTGTGTGTGTGTGTGTGTGTGTGTGTGTTAGAGGCCCAGTGTAATGAATTCGGTCAGGGGGAGGGGACATGGGCAGTTGTCCAGCCTGCCTGCTGGTCCAATTCCCGGTCAAGGGGACCATTTGCATATTAGCCTTTTATTATATAGGATACACACTGAGTGGCCAGATTATTATGCGCTCAGAGATCATAGTAATCTGCCCACTCAGTGTGGGTTGAGGTGAATTAGAGGATGCAAGGGTGATCAGGCTGTCGTGTCAATGATTGCCTGCCCACATCATGTGATTTGTCTAGTAAAGCTACTAACTTTTTTTCTCCTCTCATTTCTTCAGGGGTCTTATTTCTGGAGCTACATTATCACTTGAAAAGAAGTCTTTTCTTAACAGAATATTTTTTAATTGAATTGATTTTTAGAGAGAGAGGAAGGGAGAGGCAAGAGAGAAACATTGACGTGAGAGTGGAACATGGATTGGCTGCCTCCTGCATGCCCCACATCAGGGCTTCAGTCATGTGCCCTGAATGAGAATCCAACTGGCAACCTTTCAGTGCACTGGATGTCGACCAACCAACTGAGCCACACTGGTCAGGGCCAGAAGACTCTTCTTGTTAAGGATATTGTAGGGTTTATTTCCAGCTGCAGGACTCATACATGTTATAGACCTAGTTTCTGATTGTTAAGTGAATTTAAAATGAGATGTATTTGCTTCATGTCCCAGAAAAATGAGTGGAGATAACTTATTTTACTGTCTCTAAGAATGGAGAAAAATGCTGAAGGGGGACTGAGAGTATCAGGACAGGGTGGAAAGGACTGGGTAAATATTTAGTATTGGGAACGACCGTGAGATTGCCCTCCTTTATCATCTTGAGGACAGAACTATTCCTTGTGATTCTTACTGACCTTAGTAACCCTTGGTTCAAGAAAGTAAAATGGTTTAAATCCTCAAATAACTATGTTTAAATAGTTTATAAATATTATAAATACCTTTTTAGCATTTGCTTGATCAAAGCCTCAGTCAAAATATTTGTGTTGTTTCAATTTCCACACCTAAAATAAATGGAGAACAGCAGCAACATATAAATCAGATATGAATCACTTATACTGGTAGCTGGCAGGATTTACTAATATGTTAAAAAATGCTTTTAGTTTCCAACTGAAGTTTACTTTTGTATGGAAAATCATTACTGAATAAAAATTCCTGAAAGCAAATTGCTATTTCACATACAAACTAGTTTCATTATCAACTTCTTTACTTGACAATTTTATCCTGCAGTAAGGTTTCTTGAGTGAAAGATGAGTAAACACTGGCATCAACAGCAAGCTAATGGTGACAGTAAGATGAGAAAAATAGATATCTTGTGATAATTCTGCATTTGGATATTTGAAGAATGTCTGGTAATAGATATCACATCTGAGTTTGGAGACATTAAATAATTCTTAGTTGGTCTATCAATATTAAAAGTAAACAATTTGGTCATTATATATCATATAACCAAGGAATACATTTCAGAAAAATCTCAAGTATTCTAGGTAATTCAGGAAAAAGTTCATTTTAAAATCCACAGTAATTAGATTATCAATATAGAATCTCCAAGTTTATAAAATAATTTTTAATCTTTTAATATAAATGTATTATTTCTTCTGCTTTGTTGAAGCATATATAGATGTAGTACCTATAGAAACTAATTTAGCATAACTCCTTTTTGGGGGGTCATAGAAGGGGAGTAGAGGAATGCTTAAGAGAAATGCTTAGCATCTTGAACTGTGCACAGAATAGCAATTGAACATTAATGGACCTGGTTTCTGGCCCATATATCTATAAATAGAACTCATAAATTCTCAAGACCAAGTTATGGACTATTGATTTTTTTTTCTATAGAAATACATGAACACACTTCTCTATACCCTGATTATGCGATGATTGTGAGGTGAATGTTATCCAGCTTGTTTCTTTTCTTGTAGAACGCAGTCTAACTTGTGTGTGTGTACCTTTGGTAAAGAATATCTCAAATGGGTCAGATCAGGGGATTGTTAATCCTAGCTAAATGCTTCTTTCCAATGGCAATAAGATTCTGAGGCAACACAGGTATTCAGCTCAATTCAAGAAACATTTATAAAGAGCCTATCCTTTGTCTGGCACTGGGGTTGCAAATACTGAATTCAGATCCCATTTTAGACTTTGGGATTGGCTAATATAAGAACCAGACAAGAACTCAAAGACTGATATTAAAATAGATTAATTTCTCAGTGTTTCTCTAACAGAAAACACAGGTGCAGATTGGAAGAGATTCTCTCATGACTGATCTGATCTAGAATTATACCTTAAGGCAGCGATTTTCACCCAGTGTGCTGCAAGAATTTTTAAAACATGCAATACCTGACTATCCAGTCAGGGGCACTGACTTCCTTTCCCTTAGACAGCCAAATAAGAAAAATGACAGGAGCCAACACAACAAGAGCCATCCAGTATGAATGAATAAATAAAAAAATTATACTTTTTTTTTTCAGATTGGCAAAAAAATAATGTATTTTTTTGGTGTGCTGCAGAATTTTAGTTTGTGTGCCACAAGATTGGAAAAAAGGTAGAAAATTGCCGCCTTAAGAAGTAGAAGGGCAAGACAATTCATCTGGACATTTTCTGCAGGGCTTTTAGCTAATACTTACGGGACAGAGGGGGTCAGCATACAAAGTCCCAAGAAGATGTATACTATCAGAATTAGTCTACAGTATAGCTGTGCTGCAACCAAGCTTATTTTCCTTTAGAATGCAGGAATTCTATAAAAAGAAAGAAATTACAATCAGCCTTAAAGAGAGTACAGATTAACGAGGGGCTTATTGAGACTAGTAAATACCAGAGACCAACAACATTTTTATTCACACAGACATTGTAACACTGCCACATGCTATGCTCTACACGACTGCATTTTCTCAAATTTAACCTTGAGTGAAAAATAGCAGAGCCAACAAAAGACCAAGCAAAAAGAGGTTTATCTTTAAAGATACATAGTAAGTCAAAAGAAGGAAGAAAACAACTGCAATATAATAAATCTATTATGTTAAAATAGCTAGAAAATTATATTTAACATGATACTGTGTAAAACTAAGCAATTTTTATAAATTTGATATTTTCACAAAAGTTAACTAATTTATTTGAACCTTTATATTTAAATTTATGCTCTTAAATTTTCAATTTAAAGGCTTACTTTTGGAGCAGTGATTCCTGAACCAAGTTTTGTAAATGAAATATTTAAAGTCCAGTCTGCAAGCTGCTATTTTCAATGTTTCTAATCTCTGATGGAACCACCAAGAACATATTTACCCACTTAAGATATCAGAAATAAACTAAAACCTTACATTTCTTTGCCTAGAATTATAGCAACTAGTGATAATCCTTTGTTTACTAGAACCTCAAATGGTCAATACATTATGACTTTGATTAATGAAAAAGAAATAAGAAGTATATGATGATGAAAAATTTACGAGTGTTTAGACAATGTCAGACTAAACCGTACGATTCTATAACTAAAAAAAAAAAAATACTATTATTTTTTTCCAAATTACAGAATAAAAAAATTGAATTTCTCCACTCAGTGGTTTTTTTTCCGTGCCTTAAAAATTTTGGCTATTAATATTCCTCAAAGGAAGAAAAACAAATCATTAATCATCAGACATCATACCTGGTATTAAGCTGTCCTATTGCGTCTACTCATGCCTCTCACTAGATTTGACATGTAAACTTAATTTCATTGGCTTTACCTTGCTAACATATTTCTTTTAGGTATTTAATGCATTGTTTTATTTTGAAATTGAAAGACCTATAGATATATAATATACAATAGTTATAGTTTCTGTTAGAATTATGTTTTCTACTAGAGGCCCAGTGCATGAAATTTGTGCATGCGGGTGGTGGGGTCCCTCATCTGGGCCTGCATTCTCTTGCAATCTGAGACCCCTCGGGGGATGGGATGTCAGACCTAAAAGGGCAGTCAGACATCCCTCTCGCCATCCAGGATGCTGCATGTACCAGTGACCATACTTTTCATACAGGTGAAAGGCATCTTGCTTTTGTATGGACCACTACATTTTTTTGTCCTGGTTATGAAAAATAGTACATAACATAATCCTTTTGAGGCAGTAGTGCCATTTCCCCCATCTTATGGGTGGAAAAACTGAAGGAGAAAGAAGCTAAGTAATTGGCTTGGTCAGTTATAAGTATCAGAATAAAGGCTGATCACAAAATGTGCAAGCCAGAATCCATGCACGTCATTGCTGCATCATCCTGTTTTTTCAGTGTTAAGAGTAGCCTTGCCAGGTTTTAATTTTTAAATCTATGAGACTGTTTCCAATATATAGGGTAGGGTCCCTAGGCCTGGCTGGCAATCAGGACCGTCTGTGGGATAAACAGTGGACAGGGAAATCAGGGGGCCCCTGCTGGCACCTGCCTTGGCTAGTGGCCTGGCTCTGCCTGCTGGCTGATCCTGGCTAACACCCCCCCCACCCCCACCCCCGCTGGTTGCCTCCCTCTCAAGAGTCTGCCTCCTGGTGGTCAGTGTGCATCATAGCGACTGGTCATTCTGATTTGCATATTAGGGTTTTATTATAAAGGATTAGAATTATGCTTTCTGTTCTCTTATTAGAACTACTGAAGTCTGCAAGGACACTATCAATGCTCTGCCACTTGAACAAATTTGAGATCCAATATTTAAAATGACTTCTCTCTATATAAAAGCTTTTATAAGTCAAGTGATTTTTATTTACCTTAGGTGACACAAATAACTTTTAGAAACAACTGAAAGCCTAATTTAAACACTAATTTAGTAAACTTTTAGATGTGCCCAAATCTGAAAAACTGAAGCCCTTATGTGAGTTTAAGCAGTGACAAACTGGTCAATTAAAAAAAAAAAAGAGTCAGTTTAGCTACTGTTTTTAGTAGAATAGGATCTTAAAAAGTATATACAAAATTAACTACAGCCACTTATTTAAGAAATAGCAAAAAGCATTAAGGAGTTAGCAACGTGGACAAAAGCTAAGAAAATTTGAATTAAAGCTGATAGCTCTACTCAGAATACTATTTCTTCTTCCTGTTTAGAGACTAAGTCACAGGCTTTATCTGGATAAGCAGCCTTTTGAATGGTGATTTTATTTTATTTTTTTAAAGGTTTGCATTTTTAAATTTATTTAGATAGGTTTTTAAAAGCCCTGAAAGTGCATGTAGGATCAGTTTGGGATCACAGAAGCTGCTTCTTATGGTGGTCATCTCCACTTCTATTTAAAACATATATTAAAACTAGAGCCTAGAGTAGGGGTGTCGAACTCAATCAGAGAAGGGGCCAAAATCTAAAATCCAGCCTAAATTGCGGGCCGAATGGTTTATTGAACAGTCATAAACTGTCATTGTGACGGAAACGCAGTGGAGTGCAGTGATAACAGCGCGGTGCGGGCCACATTGCAAGGCCTGGCGGGACGGATTTGGCCCGCGGGCCTTGTGTTTGACACGTGCTAGAGTATGAAATTTGTGCATGGGGGGAGTGGGGAGTGTCCCTCAGCCAGCCTGCAGCCTCTCCAAACTGGGACTCCTCCAGGGATGTCTGACTGCCCGTTTAAGCCTGATCACTAAACTTGCATGGAGGAGGCAAACAATTATTGTGTCTCACATTGATGTTCCTCTCTCTCTTCTACTCTCTCTCACTCATTCTCTCTCTGCACCTCCTACTTCTCCCTTTCTCCCACTTTCTCTAAATAACAATAGATCGGGCCTAAATGGGCAGTCGGACATACCTCTTATAATCCAGGACTGCTGGCTCCCAAATACTCACTTGCCTGTCTTCCTGATTTCCCCTAACCACTTCTGCCTGCCAGCATGATCAACCCCTAACCACTCCCCTGACAGCCTGATTGATGCCAAACTGCTCCCCTGCCAGCCTGTTTACCCCTAACTGCACTCCTCTGCAGGTCTGGTCCCTTCCAACTGCTCTCCCCTACAGGGTTGATTGCCCCCAACTGCCCTCCCTTGCAGGCCTGGTCCCTTTCAATTGCCCACCCCTGCAGCCATCTTGTGTCCACGTGGGGGCAGTATCTTTGACCACATGGGAGCAGCCATCTTGTGCTGGTCAATTTGCATATTACTATTTTATTAGATAGGATGCATAATCAATGAGAATTGTTCATAGTCAAGTCCTGCTTTACCCAGATGGCTCAATCAAGCTGCTACAGAAATGCATTAAGTTTTTGGTCAATTCCTATGGATTTATAAGGGGAAAAAAACACTGATAAAATCCAAGCACTATTTCCAGAATCTCCCCCATGAGATCAGGAAAACTGCATCTTCAACACACCATGGCTAAAATGAACATTTTGGTAGATTTTATTACAGGCACAGTAACTTATAATTTCAAAACAAGACATTTGCTGCCCTGGCTGACGTGGCTACATGGTTTAAAGCACATGTGTCAAACACAAGGCCCTCGGGCCAAATCCGTCCCGCCAGGCCTTGCAATGTGGCCCGAACCGCGCTGTCATCACTGCACTCCGCTGCGTTTCCATCACAATGACAGTTTATGACTGTTCAGTAAACCATTCGGCCCGCGATTTAGGCTGGATTTTAGATTTTGGCCCCTTCTCTGATTGAGTTCGACACCCCTAGTTTAAAGTGACGATCCTCACACGGAAGGGTGGATGGAAATTTCTGTCAAGGGCTTGAACCTGGGTTGCAGGTTCATTCGGGCCCCATCCCAGCGCATGGGGGGAGGCAAACAATTACTGTGTTTCACATTGATGTTCCTCTCTCTCCCTTACTCTCTCCCTCACTCTCTCTCTGCTCCTCCTACTTCTCCCTCCTTCCCCCTTTCTCTAAATAACAATGGAAAAAATATACCGAGGTGAGGATTAACAAAAACATATTTGCAATTCGCTCTCACAAATTCTGAATTACCATGGGGGATTAATACCTAGAAAAGTGAGCTATAACCCCCCCACCCCCAACCAAAGAAAACAACGAATTTAAACGGAGGTATCGAAGAACCTTTAACTTTTAGGAGAATATCCTCAAAGGATATCTAATATTTTAGAATTATAATTTCACACCTTGGTCTACAGCAGGCAGATTTTAAATCTATTTTAAAAAATATATATTTTATTAATTTTTTACAGAGAGGAATTGAGAGAGATAGAGTTAGAAACATCAATCAGCTGCCTCCTGCGCACCTCCCATTGGGGATGTGCCTGCAACCAAGGCACATGCCTTTGACTGCAATCGAACCTGGAACCCTCCAGTCCGCATGCCAACACTCTATTCACTGAGCCAAACCAGTTTTGGCAGATTTTAAATCTATTTTACATACCTAATAAAAATCAACCCCGCCAAAACTGGTTTGGCTCAGTGGATAGAGCGTTGGCCTTTGTATTGAAGGGTCCCAGGTTTGATTCTGGTCAAGGGCATGTACCTTGGTTACAGGCACATCCCCAGTAGGGGATGTGCAAGAGGCAGCTGATCGATGATTCTCTCTCATTGATGTTTCTACAATAACTCTATCCCTCTCTTCCTCTCTGTAAAAAAGCAAAAAAATAAAAATAAAAATAAATAAATAAAATAATAAAAATATATATGTATATAAAGTCAACCTCAGCCCTAGCTGGTTTGGCTCAGTGGATAGAGCGTCGGCCTGCGGACTGAAAGGTCCCAGGTTCGATTCCAGTCAAAGGCATGTGCCTTGGTTGCAGGCACATCCCCAGTGGGAGGTGTGCAGGAGGCAGCTGATCGATGTTTCTCTCTCATAAATGTTTCTGACTCTTTATCACTCTCTGTAAAAAAATAAAAAAAATATATTAAAAAAAAAATCAACCTCAGCTGGTGGACCTAAACTGTTTGCAGCTGCAAATACTGAGACGTGATTTTTAAAAAGCTGCTCAAGAGTGCGAGAAATCAGTCATTAAAATCCATCAAACTAGTGTACAGTCCCTGCCCGTGGTGCGTGCGTGCGTGCGTGTGTGTGTGTGTGTGTGTGTGTGTGTGTGAGACTGAGGCACCCTAAAATGCGGCTTTAGGGTCCTTTCTCAGCTATTTAGAACGTTAAGCGCCACGCCGGTCACCGGTGACTGACACTGCACTTTCCGTCCGGACCGGCCAGTCACCGGTGCCGCCAGCAGGTCGGTGACATCGGATATCCAGGGCTAAATCGGCGAAAACGGAACCGAAGACAAAACAGGCTTGGCGCTTAACGTGTTAAATCCTGTTTACAAAAACCATCAAGAACAAATTCGCAAAAGGACTTCCTGCCCCACGTGGTGGCAGAGAAGGCCTACTTCTGCGGTCCTGGAGGGCGGGCCCCGGCTTCGGTTCCCCGAGGACACAGCACCGGCCTCAGGGTCCTGCGGCGGCCGCGGGGCCCAGCCCGGGGCGCCCCGGCGGCAGGTCCCGGGCTGCAGGGGGAGCGGGGAGCGGGGAGCGGGGAGCGGGGAGCGGGGAGCGGGGAGCGGGGAGCGGGGAGCGGGGAGCGGGGAGCGGGGAGCGGAGCGCGGAGCGCGCCCCCGCGCGTCCTCCAGGTCACCTTCGCGGGGGCGGGGCGGGGCCGCCGGGCCGGGCCGACCACCTAGCGACCAGCCGGCCGCCAATCAACGCTCGGAACGCGCCCCCGGGTTCCAGCCCCGCAAGCCGCCCGCTGGCGCCCAATCCGGACCGCGCTAGCAGTCCGCGTACGGAAAGTCCTGGTCTCGGGGGGGCGGGGAAGGGAGGAACTAAATTAAGAAACCGGGCCTCGGAGTGGAGGGAAGGAGGGGAGGGGAGGCGGAGACTCGGCCGGCGGAACGCCCGCCCGCAGCCCCTCCCGCCACGACTCCCCGGGGACGGTCGCTCGGCTCCGGGGCCGGGTTCTTGGTCCGGGCCCCGCCGCGTTCCGTGGTAAACAAAGGCTCGAAGGGGGTTGGGGCAGGGGTAGCGGTCAGGTGACAGGACCGAGCACATTTCGCAAACGCTTCAGTGGGGCTACTCCGGGAGCCCACATTGACGCCGTCAAGTCCTCTCCGACAGACACCGATCGCCCCCCCCCTCCAAAAAAAAAAAAACAAAACAAAAACACCAATAAAAACGGAAAGGCTTGATTTGAGGCCTTCGCATTCAGCACTTCCTTCGAAGCCGGTCGGCAACAGCAGGACCTGTTCTCCCCAGCCCCGTTCGCCAGCTGCTCCCGCCCCCGAAGCGACAGGGTGGCCGACACCTGCTCACCCCAGCCCGGCGGCCCTGTCCCTCCCAGCCCGGCCCCTGCGCCCCGCGTCAGCACCGCCGCGGTTCCGGGCGGCAGTGCCAGGAGGCTGGGGTGCCCTCCTTTCAGGACTGTCGTTGCCGATCGGGGCTTAAGACCTCCCCAGGGACGCCCCACAGACTCCCTCACCCCAGACAGGGGTCCAGCAGCCCCAACCGCAATCTCTCCTCGGCGCCCCTGTGTCTGGCCCCCGAGAGGCCGGGCGCCGCTGGCCTCCCTCCTGCAGACACCCCCGTGGTCGTGACCTCGGTCGCCCCTCCGCCCCCGGCGCCGGCCGGTTCCTCGCCTTTCGGCCGGTCCCGGAGCTGTCATCCCCGGGTACCTCTCGGCGAAGGCTGGAGGCGGCCAGCGGCAGTGGCGAGCAGCGGCTGCCCCCGCGGTCCGTTAGCGGCTGGCGGCGCAGCGCTCCTTCCAGCCCTGAAGTCTCCTGGAGCCACCAGCCACCGCTGTAGCTCACAACAAAGGAAACATGTGACCGGCCGGGCCAAAACACTGAGCGTCAGAGGCCCTGGGCCAATCCGAGTGGGCTCCTCACGCGCGGGGCACCCTGGGAGATGTAGTTCCTGCTGCGGGGGCTACCGCTAAGCGTGCGTGAGGAGACCCAGGCCACAGGGGCTGGTGACTGGAGAATACTTTGTTTTAGTTAGAAACAGGTTAAAATGAAATGCATCGTTTTAGGATTCTCCTGAGAAACCTGAGTGGTGTGTTTATTGCCACGTCCAAGGCAAAAGCACATTTCCATGAAGTCGCAGATACCTTAGTCTAAAGCACATGTGTCAAACACAAGGCCGGCGGGCCAAATCCGTCCCGCCAGGCCTTGCAATGTGGCCCGCACCGCGCTGTCATCACTGCACTCCGCTGCGTTTCCATCACAATGACAGTTTATGACTGTTCAGTAAACCATTCGGCCTGTGATTTAGGCTGGATTTTAGATTTTGGCCCCTTCTCTGATTGAGTTCGACACCCCTAGAAGGTATCTGCAGGCGTCCTCAAACTTTTTAAAGTGGGGGCCAGATCACGGTCCCTCAGAGAGCTGGAGGGCCAGACTATATGAACTACTAATTCCTACTGTAACACCTCGGCTGCGCTCACTGCCCAAAAAACCTGGTGCGCCGGATCAGACTCCTCTGCGGGCCACATGTGGCCCGCCGGCCGTAGTTTGAAGTCGCCTGCTAGAGTGTGCGACGAGGTTTAGAGATCTTTTAAATTTGACCCCTTGGTTCCGAATTGTGAAATCTGAGGGCCTGAGGGTGAAAGGGACAAGAACCCTAGTCGCTAGACGGCGCAGGGAAACTGTCTTTCTGTGTAAATCTGAGTTACCTTTTTATTTTAGACATACATGCAAATCAAAGTTGTTGCAAATCCCTATTTTCCAAGGCAAATAGATTCAGCTAAGGACATTATCTGCAGATATTTTTTTCAAGGATGGGTATACTCTCAAACATTCAACTAGCTTTTGGTTTCTGATGTCAGAATTATAACCTCTCTCTTCTATTCAATATGAATACAGTCATGCCTTTATTGAATAAAGGATTGTGTTGCAAAGACCAGAGGTGTATCCTATATATTATAATAAAAGGCTGATAATGCAAATTGACCAAATGGCATAACCACAGTCACTATGATGCACACTGACCACCAGGGGCAGACGGTCAATGCAGGAGCTGCCCCCTCCTGGTCATTGTGCTCCCACAGAGCTAAGGATGTCTGACTGCTGTGGGGAGTGGGCCTAAGCCAGCGGTTGGACATCCCCTGACGGCTCTCAGACTGACCTTTAACCCACCAAGTGCACAAATTTCATGCACTGGGCCTCTAGTATAATATAGAAGATCAGGCCTCTTAAAAATACTTTTTAGGCTTCTTTCCGTCTCTTATTAAAAATGAAAATGTCTGCAATTTATTAAGTTACTACAAAACTCCAAACTCAGTGTTAGGCACTTTATATATATCCTTTAATCCTATAATAACTCAGCAAGATAGGTGGTATTATCCCATAAGAAAATAAACTGCAGAGAGGATAAAGTTTTAGCCCAGGTCATTCAGTTATTAAATGGTGAAGCTGGAATTCACACATACACTTAAAAAATTGTATTTATGTTAATGTAGGTAGACAATTATCTTTCTAAATAGTTTATTAACAAAGTTAAACATGTATTACACGATTAGTTGTGCAATAGCAGCTCCATCTCCCTCCCTTCCCCTTACTGATTCTCCAAAAGCAACCATTTGCAACTATTTGAACTATTCTGACACTTAATCTCTATTTCTATATACCATATTCCTATTTTCTATGTAAGTAATTGTCATCCCTGTCCCCTGTCCTTCCAATATTATAATTTCTGATTAAATAATTAAGTTATTCGTGGCTGAGTCAAAATTTTTTTTTCTTATTTGGATTTTTTGTTTTTCCAGGAATAGGCAGGCAACTAGTGGATCCTCACTGCCTTGGTGAAGTCTCAACTTCCTGGCAGTGCACACAGGTCCTTCCTGAGACACCTTAGGGTCTGTCTCTGCAGCCTACACACTAGCTTTAATAAATTGTCCACAGTGGCCCAAAGGACTCACCCTCTCAGTATCCGGGCCATTCCTATTCATATCCTGCTCCCCATGCCTCCTATGCCCCCTTCTTCCTTTCACTCCATTCACTAGGCTAACTCCTGCTCTTCCTTCCAGGAGTCAGCCTGTGAGCCTCTCTTGGGACACCCTCTTTTCCTTCCCATTTTGCTCTGGGCTAGGTCTCTCTCCTCTGTCTTCCCACAGCAACCCATCTTTATCTCCTTCCCAGCAGTCTTTCCACTAATTGCCCATGTTTATTTACATGCCTTATACTCCTGACCTGAGGAGTCATTTTATATCATAGCTCACCTCGTAGGTGTCCACTGTGTATCTAGTCACGGATGGAATGGTTTCTACTTCTTGAGTTTAAAAGCGCCTGAAAAAAAAAAAAATGCAGTGCCACCAAGACCCTGGGATCCACTTGGGCTCAGCTATATGATGTCTTCCTCAGAATGACTCCTCTCTTGGGGCAGATAGGTACAGGATAGTCATTTGAGAGAGGAAATGAGGGGGGGACAATGGGACAGGCAGCCCTGGAGACGGGCAGAGGACTGCTGGTGGATATGAGAGCTCCTCAGGCGCCAGAGTTTGAGTGGTTTCAGGATTGGTGAAGGGCCTTGGAAGGTATGCGTACTCCACTCCAGTGAGCATGGCCAGGTAGCAGCCTTTTTTTCTTTTTTCTATTTTTTTTTCTTTTTCAGCTGGGGCTGGAATATAAGCAGAGCTCTTGAGTCTAGGGGGAATCTCCTGAAACGGAGTGAGATTATTCTGTAATGTAATGTGACTTATTGTATGCAGTGTTTACAATCCAGGTTGGCCTGGTCACGTGAAGAGGCAGAAACTTGGAGGGGGGGACCGTTCCTTTTGGGGATATACTGCATGGTTCCAAAGACTGTCTTCTTGCAGAGAGCACACGGCAGCCCTCGTTTTGCTCTCCAGAGCATCCGTAACAGTCTCTAAGGTTTAAGGCTGCCAAGCATCCATAGTCCCTCCAGCCATTCTTTTTATTTTTTTCTCTCCAGCAGGCTCTTCTTCCCCATGCAGAAAACATCACTCTGTAAACACACCAGCCTTTCCTGCCTCTGCTTTTGGCTTCTTGCATTTGAAGTTTTCTTGTTCACAATTGCAGCAGAAATGTTGGTCCTCTTTTAAAGCTCATCTCTGGTGCCACTTCTTCTGTGGGGCCTTCTCTGAATTTCTTCCCCACCTACCACGAAGCTGTGCACACCTCCAGTGTATTTATGTATTTATTTACACTGAGTGGCCAGATTATTATGATCTCTGAGGCCCAGTGCATGAATTCGTGCATGGGTAAGGTCTGGCTAGCTTGGCCAGGGGGAGGGGACATGGGCAGTTGGCTGGCCTGCCTGATGGTCGAACTCCTGGTCGAGGGGACAATTTGCATATTAGCCTTTTATTGTATAGGATATACACTGAGTGGTCAGATTATTATGCATTCAGAGATCATAATAATCTGGCCACTCAGTGTATTTATTATTGTTTAAAGTATTACATATGTCTTCTTTCCCCCCAGTTGGCCCCCCACCCCACCATTCCTGCCCCCCGCACCTCCAGTGTTTAGACTGTGATTTGGCATTATGTTTATACCCAGCCCCTGGAGGCAGCTGGGTACTTTGACAGGTATGGGTCCAGCACTTTGAGCTTCTCCCCAGCAATAAATCCCAATTGCAAAACACTGATGAATGGAGATTTTTACTGAAGGTTCCACAAAGGGAGATTTGCATGGCATTTTACACTACAAAACTCACTAACACTCTCTTTAAACATCTGTTCCCTCACCTCAGCTCCATCCTCAGCCACCCCTCTTTTCTCACTAGGCACCCTCTCTCTGGGCCTCTCTCTAGTATCAGTTTGGCTTTTCTCCCTTCCTATGATCCCTGCCATTTTCCTCCTAGACACCCCCACCCATCCCTCACACACACTCTTTTCAGTAATTTGCATTTGTACACTCATCCCCTTTCAAAACAGAGAGTTCCAGCCTTCAGAGAGCAGAAGCTCATAAATAACAAATGATCCCCACCCCCCTCACCATATTCTTCCACGGACATATTTAACATCGCGGCAGGTCTGTTACACAACAGCCCTCCCTGTGTTGAGTGAAGGGGAGAATAAACACAGTACATTATTTGCTCATGGCACCTGGGCCTCTCCAGTCTTGAGGCCTTCCCCTCCCTCCCCTCCCTTAGTCTCCCATTAGGTAAGAGTGACTCAGCTCCGAAGCCTTTGTGGATGCAGAGGTCTGACTCTCCGTGGCTTTGTAGTGAGGTACCAGGAAAGGTTTGAGTTGCCCCTGGGGTGGGGGGGGTCACTCCCACCCCGCCCAGATAGTCGGTCATGGGCTCCACGGGACCAGTTAGAACTTGGGGTAGCGTTAGGATTCAACAAGGAAAGAGAGAGCTGGGAAATTTTCCATTCTGAGATCTAGGGGAAGGGGGTACGTCTTCTGCTACGTGGAGGGCAAGCCTCCTCTCCCCGTCCCTGAGCTCTCCCCTCAGGAGCGCGGTCTGCCACAAGGTGTTCTTCCTCGGCGACAGAAACAAAGTGAGCTTCCTGTCTGGGGGTGGAGTGCAGTGGCAATCCTGGCTTTGCTCTGGAAACTGTCCTTCACAGAGGGACGTCCACGAGAGGCCAGGAGTTGGTGCCTCAGTAGCCTCCAGGTCCTGTTTGTGCCCATTTTTTGCCCTGCTCATTGCAGATAAGGGTGACTGGTTATCCCCTGGGAGCCCCGGGCTCTGATTTTGGGGAGCTGAGGCATACTTGCATCCTTCCAGTACTGTGATGCCAGACTCAGCTCTTTATTCTTCTGCCCGAAGGACATCTGATTCTACCTTGCTTTCTTCTTAATTTCTTCCCCAGTAGTGAAAATTCAAGTGGCCCCTCTGGTCT